TACCTCTTGGCCCATAGATTTTTTGAAAAGTAGTTTCAGCAGTAGGCATAGTTCTTCTTCCTTTTATTCCACTAGTATTAATACACTAGTATTCCCCTAGTGTATGTACCAAACATTATGGTATTCTTCTAGTGTGTGGTACCAAATATAGCGGTATTCCCATAGTGGGGTACCAAACATCCTGGCCATCTGGTATGGTGAGACTCCTGGGCGAGTGATGTTATCTAAGGTCGGTAGGGACAGATAGTGCCACAGGAAGTGTGACTTCCGCTGGCACCATCACACCTGCTGCTCCCCCTCCTGGCCCCTTGTTGGCGTAACCGTTGAGTATACTGCCAGGTGTACCTTTGGGTTTTACCTTGGGGTCTCATTTGTTATTTTTAGTATCCAGTTATATTATTTTCTAATATCCTACCACCACAGCCAAGACCAGTTCAGATCCATTAACTGTTGGTGAATCTGAGGTCTACAAAGCAGCTTTTTTTTTTTTTTTTTTTTTTTTTTACACCTGGGTTAGCAGGCAGCTTTACAGGATTAAAGCATCAATGCATCAAGCAAAAGCTTAATCCTGCAATTGGTGATGCTTCACAAGATCTTCTTATTGAACTCTCAAGATTCATCAATACTGTACATGCCTGGCTGGTGGTATACCAGAGGTTGTCATGGCCCCTCTTTTTTTGGTCCCTCCCTCTATGCACTCAGCCAGAAAGATGAGGAAATCGAGCCAATCGCTGTTGGCAACACTCCTCGACACCTGGTTGCCAAGGCTGCCATGAAGGTTGTCATCCAGCAAGCGGTTGAATTGCTGAAACCAATTTAGCTAGGATTTGGAATACCCCAAGGCTGTGAAGTGGCTGCCTATGCAGCACAAGCGTACATTGCCAACATTTCTGATCAAAGGCTCTGATCGAACTGGACTTCAAAAATGCCTTTAACATGGTCAGAAGAGAGGCATGTACGTCACCATTTCCCGCCCCTCTACCCATTCATTCTGTCTTGCTAAAGTGGTGAATCAAAATTGCCCTTTGGCGAACACGAAATCAGATCAAGGGAAGGTGTGCATCAAGATAATCCTAAGTGTGCAACCTATAATCCTAGTTGCTCCTCCTCTTTTCTGCTTAGTCTTAAAAGAAATCACCAAAAGCTTGTCCAGCGAGTTCAACATCTAGTTTTTGGACGATGGCACTATAGCTGGCCCCCTACTTCCCCTCTTGAAAGAAATCGACAAAATAAAGGAGCAAGAAATAAACCTGGGTCTCCCTAAATCCATCCCAAGTATGAAGTAGTCTCATCAAACCCAGACATCAACTAGAATAAGATCCATCTTGCCCGAAGTCCATGTCATTAGGTCTGCAAACAGCACCTGCCTTGGAGCCCTCTCTCGGGTCTAAATCGATCATTGATAAAAAAATCACAGACCTCAGGAGGATGGAAGACAGGACAGGTGATACCGATGCTTACAGCGCTTTTTATCTCCTCCCTAGATGCCTATTCCTTCCGAGGCTAACTTTGAGGTGCGCCCATCTTACAACAGCCCAAAGCTTGAAGTGTATGACTTCCTACTGAAGACCATGCAAGAAAAAGTTGTCAACATTTCCTTCAATGACTGTCGGTGGAAAGAAGCCACTGTCAAATCTGAAATATTGGTCACGTTGCCCGTAGACTTATTCACCTGTTTCAGTGCTTCATTACATACTTTTTCAAAGGGAGAGAGAAGAGGAGGTGGGAGAGAAGAGAGGGAGGGAAAAAGGGAAGGGAGGGAGAAGGGGATGTTTGAATAGAAGGGAAGAAAGAGGTGGGATATAGGAGGTCAGGAGGGAAGAGGTAAGAGTGGGTGGGAGATTAGGAGAGAGTGGGGGGGGGTGAAGGTGGAGAGGGGATCTTGGAGAAGATGGGAAGAGGGGGGATTGGGAAACCAATGACAGGGGGTTGGGGGGTTGGGAGAGACCCGGGTGCAGCTGGGCATCCCCAACTAATTACTTAAATTATTTACATTAGTCATTATATGGCTGCAATTGTGATAATTCAAATTACTACATTTTCTCGATGTCAAACATCAGTCACTTGTTTTATTGCTTCCAGTTACTACTTCACCTGATGCCTTGTTCACCGTGTTAGTTGGTGTGTGTATTGTATAGCAAGGAGTAGTGTTGGTGTGTGTATTGTATAGCAAGGAGTAAAGTAGGTGGGTGTGTGTATTGTACAGCAAGGAGTAGTGTTGGTGAGTGTGTGTATTGTATAGCAAGGAGTAGTGTTGGTGTGTGTATTGCATAGCAAGGAGTAGTGTTGGTGTGTATGCTGTATAGCAAGGAGTAGTGTTGGTGTGTATGCTGTAGAGCAAGGAGTAGTGTTGGTGTGTATGCTGTATAGCAAGGAGTAGTGTTGGTGTGTATGCTGTATAGCAAGGAGTAGTGTTGGTGTGTATGCTGTATAGCAAGGAGTAGTGTTGGTGTGTATGCTGTAGAGCAAGGAGTAGTGTTGGTGTGTATGCTGTAGAGCAAGGAGTAGTGTTGGTGTGTATGCTGTATAGCAAGGAGTAGTGTTGGTGTGTATGCTGTATAGCAAGGAGTAGTGTTGGTGTGTATGCTGTATAGCAAGGAGTAGTGTTGGTGTGTATGCTGCATAGCAAGGAGTAGTGTTGGTGTGTATGCTGTATAGCAAGGGTAGTGTTGGTGTGTATGCTGTATAGCAAGGAGTAGTGTTGGTGTGTATGCTGTATAGCAAGGAGTAGTGTTGGTGTGTATATTGTATAGCAAGAAGTAGTGTTGGTGTGTATATTGTATAGCAAGGAGTAGTGTTGGTGTGTATATTGTATAGCAAGGAGTAGTGTTGGTGTGTATATTGTATAGCAAGGAGTAGTGTTGGTGTGTATATTGTATAGCAAGGAGTAGTGTTGGTGTGTATATTGTATAGCAAGGAGTAGTGTTGGTGTGTATGCAAGGAGTGGGTTAAAGTGTTTGAAGGAGCGAAGTGGTAACCATCCTCACTATCTCATAGTGCAGGGTGGTGGTGGTGGTGGTGGTGGTGGCGGCCTTATCAGCCGAGCGGATACCATGCCTCACTCCAGCTTGCCTCTTTGACAGTTCAGTTAATCAGGATTCTCTTTACAACATCCCATTGTAAAATAATGTTACTTATGACAACCATTTGGTCAAAAGTACTAATTTGTAGTGATGGCCCATTAAAAGGTTGACGTTGTATTAATTAATATGGCCAAATAGGGAAAATTACAAAATAAATTTGAGCAATTTTAGGCCTAATACATGCTACCATAAGCCTAAAATAATACGTGTGTGTTCTGCATTAGGCCTAGGAATACTTAAGATTGGTTGTAGCTTTATTTTTTTGCAGACTGTAAAATTAAAAGTACAAAATATAATTTTTGGGTGGTCCATCATTACATATTTGGTACTTTTGACCAAATAGTTACTATAAGTACTGTCATTTCAGGAAGGTACTTGGCTTTACACAATGCTGGAGCCGCTTTACACAATTACAGGTCGGCCGAGCGGACAGCACGCTGGACTTGTGATCCTGTGGTCCTGGGTTCGATCCCAGGCGCCGGCGAGAAACAATGGGCAGAGTTTCTTTCACCCTATGCCCCTGTTACCTAGCAGTAAAATAGGTACCTGGGTATTAGTCAGCTGTCACGGGCTGCTTCCTGGGGGTGGAGGCCTGGTCGAGGACCGGGCCGCGGGGACACTAAAACGCCCCGAAATCATCTCAAGATAACCTCAAGATGCTCACAATTACCTGTAGCCATCCAACTATTGAGCTACGCACACGCACGTTCCATACACGCACACATACCTGTGTGCGTGTATGGAACAGATGGACACATATGGAAGCAGAGTATCCAACTCTCAAAATCACTCGCTCTCAAACTCACTCTCTCAAAATCACTTACTCTCTCTCAAACTCTCAATCTCTCTCTCAAAAAAAATAAATAAATAAATAAATAAATTTAAAGTGGGGACCATTTTTTTGGATGGAGGTGTGGTGTTAGGGCGGGGGAGGGTGAGGGGGAGGGGGAGGGGGATTGTGGCTGGGGGGGGGTTGTGTTATGGCGGCGCAGTTAACGCTCGGCCAGATACCGCAGCCGCCGCCGCTACTAATTATGTCTATCACACACACCAATCTCACTTTTTCCACCACTATAACGAGTCCTGACCATTGTCTACTGCTTATTTATTCCCTTGCTAATTCTCTCATTAAATACTTAAAACAAACAATTGTATATTTTTAATGATACTTGGACATTAATGTATAAAATCTAAGTAATAATAAGTAATAGTTGATGCATGCGAGTTATAACATGGGTAGTATTATTTTTTTTTTGAGATATATACAATAGTTGTTACATTCTTGTACAGCCACTAGTACGCGTAGCGTTTCGGGCAGGTCCCTGGAATACGATCCCCGCCGCGAAGAATAGTTTTTTCATCCAAGTACACATTTTACTGTTGAGTTAAACAGAGGCTAGGATCCTTTACTGCTAGAATCCACTCAGTAAAACATCTAAACTACTGGGACCGACTAAAGAGCCTAAATCTGTACTCCCTTGAGCGCAGGCGGGAGAGATACATAATAATTTACACGTGGCAAATAATTGAGGGGCTGGTCCCAAACCTGCACACAGAAATAACACCACATGAGACCAGAAGACATGGCAGGATGTGCAGAATACCCCCATTGAAAAGCAGAGGTGCAACAGGTACTCTGAGAGAGAACTCTATCAACATCAGAGGCCCGAGACTGTTCAACACGCTTCCACTACACATAAGGGGCATAACTGGCAAACCCCTCAGTGTTCAAGAGAGAACTGGATAAGCACCTCCAAAGGATACCTGATCAACCAGGCTGTGACTCATACGTCAGGCTGCGAGCAGCCGCGTCTAACAGCCTGGTTGATCAGTCCAGCAACCAGGAGGCCTGGTCGACGACCGGGCCGCGGGGACACTAAGCCCCGGAAGCACCTCAAGGTAGGTAGGTACACTTACGGAATTGCGCCCAGTAAATCCTCCCCGGCCAGGATACGAACCCATGACATAGCGCTCGCGGAACGCCAGGCGAGTGTCAGGTAAGCACATTATAATAGGTAGTATAGTTTGGGGGTAGTGTTGGTGTAAGTGTGGAGGTGGGTATGAGTGAAGGAAAGAGTTGTAGTGCGATACAATAAAGGTGGTAAGTGTTGTAACATTTAGTGTGGGTGTTATCTGGGCGAGGTGTCATTTCCTGTGTGTTGTGTATATTTAGTGTACACGTGGCGCTCTACCGTGGCTCTACCCGCTCCTCTTTGCTCAAACTTCCCCTCACAGCTTGCACGCTACCCTCGGTTGCACATCTTAATTTGTCACACCCGGCCGCCTGACAGCTGGGTGGACAGCATTTCCGATTCGTAGTCCTGAGGTCCCGGGTTCGATCCCCGGTGGAGGCGGGGACAAATGGGCAAAATGTTTCTTTCACCCTGATGCCCCTGTTACCTAGCAATAAATAGGTACCTGGGAGTTAGACAGCTGCTACGGGCTGCTTCCTGGGGGATGTGTAACAAAAAGGAGGCCTGGTCGAGGACCGGGCCGCGTGGACGCTAAGCCCAGAAATCATCTCAAGATAACCCGTATTAACTCCCATCCTCTTATACTGACACCTGTTATTCAGTATTATGTTTGTCTCTTACTGTACTCAACGGTGTGTGTGTGTGTGGGGGGGGGGGGTTATAATCCCACCCCAATGTCCTTTCTCTCTTCTGTATTCCTTATAAATGGCTGGAATCACGAAACTGCTCGCATTTATTTTGTTTAATTTTTATGTGGGTGTGTGAGTATTCACCTAGTAGTGCTTGCGAGGGTTAAGCTCTGCTCTTTCTGTCCGCCTCTCAACTGTCAATCAATCAACTGTTACTAACTACTAACTAATCTGCACTATGCACTCTGACGCTCCTGTTTCAAAACAGAGTAATCACTGTGTATTGAGGTAGAACATTCCTACATGAGTCAGAGTGCATTGGGGGGGGGGCTTGTGTGAAAATTCTGATCAGGCTTCAGTGGAAGCCACAGGAAACCCTCGTGTATTCAGTACAACTCCAGGTAGCAATCTTTTTCCATGTCGTGACCTGATTATCTGGGGTGTGTGGGGGGGGACTATCCACCGCATAGTTTCGAATCCTCATCATGGCTCCTTTGAATTTTCTCATTGATACATTACGTTAGTGTGATTACTCTGTATATTTCTTCAAGTGGCTCTGTTTGGTATCCTCTTACCTCCTGGCTTGCTCCTTATCTTGGTACTTTTCTCCTGGCCACCTCCGTCACTCTCGGGACTTCATGGAAAGATTGCGTCTGCAGCCCTCCTGTAAGATGCCGAGTCTTGATGTTGACTCTGATTACTAATGTTCCCATTGATGACGTTCTCACTATCAATAGTCAGAAGGCGACTGAGGGCCTTCATCATCTCCCACTTCCCACTGACAGTAAACACACTGACGTTTTCCTCCATTTCATCAGTCTCTGTGTTGACTCTTAACTCCTTCAATGAAAAATGCTTTTCAAACTTTCGGTGTGGCTATGGGTTGCCATCTCTTGCTAATCTCTATACGGAGTACTTTGAGACCGTTCTTCTTCCCACTAGGGAGCCGGTCGGCCGAGCGGACAGCACGCGGGACTTGTGTTCCTGTGGTCCTGGGTTCGATCCCAGGCGCCGGCGAGAAACAATGGGCAGAGTTTCTTTCACCCTATGCCCCTGTTACCTAGCAGGAAAATAGGTACCTCGGGTGTTAGTCAGCTGTCACGGGCTGCTTCCTGGGGGTGGAGGCCTGGTCGAGGACCGGGCCGGGGACACTAAAAAAGCGCCGAAATCATCTCAAGATAACCACTATTGATACTCGTCCCTCTCTCTAGCTTCGCTATGTTGTTGATATTTTTTATCTATGGCCTCATGACTAGTCTTTTTCTGCCTTTTCTTTCACAACAATCTGGCTCCTTCTATCTGTTTCGAAGTTGAATGGGAATCTAATTCCCTCCTTCCTCTTCTAGACGTCAATGTTCACAGCTCTGTGTTTGGTTTATCTTTATCTGTTTACCGTATGCCTGTGCACAGTTCCCTTCTTTTCCTACCATCCTCATTTTATTAGGAAAAGTGGGTGCTTCCTCCCTTCAGATTGATGAAAAAGAGGGAATAGAGAGAACATATACGGCATACATAGACTCGATAAAGCACCTAAATTATTGGGATCGTCTCAAAGCTCTCCAAATGTACTCGCTAGAAAGGAGGCGAGAGAAATATCAAATATACACGTCGAAAATACTGGAGGGCCTGATCCCAAATCTACACAGTAAAATAACAACATATTAGAGTGAACAGTATGGAAGAAAATGCAGAATAGAACCAGTGAAGAGCAGAGATGCCATAGGCACAACCAGAGAACACTGTATAAACATCAGAGGTCCGCGGTTGTTCAACATTCTCCCAGCGAGTATAAGAACTAGATAATTTTCTCCCAGGAGTGCCGGACCAACCGGGCTGTCTGTGGTGGGTATGTGGGCCTGCGGGGCCGCTCCTGTTCCACCAAGCTCTCAAGTCAAGCCTGGCCCCGGGCCGGGCTTTGGGAGTTGAACTCTCAGAACCCCATCCAGGTAGTGTACCCCATATGCATCTTGTGAGTGATAGTTTACCTCATACCCATCCTGTGAAGGGTAGTAGATCCCATACCCATCCTTGTGAGTGATAGTTTACCTCATACCCATCCTGTGAGGGGTAGTAGACCCCATACCTATCCCGTGGGGGAGTAGGGGGGGGGGGAAGGATCATGTATAGAGGGTAGGATGGCGGGGTACGTTATCTTGGAGGAAATAGTATAGGGTAGCGTTGGTTGGGCTGCAAGGATGCCCTCCCCCTGTCTTGTATCTTACATGCCCTTCACTTGTCTCCCCCCCCCTCCTTCATCGCCCCCCCCCCCCCACACTACCCCTTCATTCTCTGACACTTGCCTTGTGTATCCTTCATCCCCTCATCCCCTCACACCTCCCTTGTCTTCCTGTCATTCGCCAGCTCACAACTATGGCGTTTAGGGTTAGACGCAATATTCCAGATTAGACCGTAGTAATGAGGATAGTCCAGCGTTTAACCACGACAACTTTCTCTCATTAATGTGAAAGATCCATTTACGAAGAGATAGCTTTTGACGTTCTTTTAGACAGTAACAAAGTATGTGAAAATGGCGAGAATGGTATATATTAGCAAACTGAAACTAGTCATCACTGCTGTATGGGAGGCCTCTAACATCACTACAATCATTAGCTGTGTGTACTGGCAGTATCGTAACCATTGTGGTACATTCGAGGTGCGATTATTGCTAGTTGACAAACACTACAATCACACCATGTAAAGCAAATAAACTAAACATAATTTTACTTACTATGAAGCCTGATATCCTGGGTATCCTGGGTATAACACTTATTGTGACGCCTATCTTTCGGGGCTTAGCGTCCCCGCGGCCCGGTCCCCGGACCAGGCTTCCTTTTTGTTACATACCCCCAGAAAGCAGCCCGTAGCAGCTGTCTAACTCCCAGGTACCTATTTACTGCTAGGTAACAGGGGCACCAGGGTGGAAAAACTGTCCATTTGTTTCCGCCTCCACCGGGGATCGAACCCGGAACCGTAAGACTACGAATACCGAGCGCTGTCCACTCAGCCGTCAGGTCCCCCTAGTGTGTGTGGACACGTATTTTTTTATTATTTTCTACCACAGACGTGGCCACACATTTACAATGCTAACCAGAATATATACATTTTCTGTCCTCCATGGACAGGGTTAGAGATCAGTTAAACATATAGTTCAAGGGTTTATTGAACAATCAACTACAGAAGGTGATTCGGTGCTTATAAAATGCTAAGCTAACCTACATACGTAAATACATAGATACACAGATTTACGTATGCCCTACATGAAGTGTTCGATGTGTCATTTACATAGTGTCATTAATGTGTGAGGACACGTAGTGTGGGGACACGTGGCGTTTGTGGACACGTGGCGTTTGTGGACACGTGGCGTGTGTGGACACGTGGCGTGTGTGGACACGTGGCGTGTGTGGACACGTGGCGTGTGTGGACACGTGGCGTGTGTGGACACGTGGCGTGTGTGGACACGTGGCGTGTGTGGACACGTGGCGTGTGTGGACACGTGGCGTGAGTGAGGGGACACAGCGATGGCAGACGATGTCCGCCGCCGACCCCTGGACTCAGCAGGCATGCGGGGGTAGAGTACTTAGGGCAACTTCTCTAGTAACGCGAGCCACTGTTAAAGGAGGTGGGTGGTGAGTTTTTAATGTGGCTCTCGGCTTGAGTGACTGGCTTGTTTTACCTCCCGCTGGGCGAGGGGGGAATCTTGAGGCATTAGTGGCAGTGATGCCACTCACACAGCACGAGGGGCATCACCAACCAACCTTCTGTCACGTCTCTCCTGGGATATATAACTGTACACGTCTCCTGCATCTGTGTGGTGTGACGTGCACCGGTGTGACGTACACCGGTGTCACTCGACAAGTCTAGGGTAACAAGACTGCTCTTAGTGGATGAGCACATGGAGGTGGTTTATGAGGCTACAGTAGTGCGTGAGGTATCGCCGGTGTGCTGGATGACCTCCCTTCCCCCCGGCCACCGCACCAGCCTCTGTCCTCGCCCCCACCACCACCCACAACCTCCGGACATGGTCTCCCCACCACCACCCACAACCTCCGGACATGGTCTCCCCACCACCACCCACAACCTCGGGACATGTTCTGCCAGCCTCCTGCAGGCGTGGTGGGAGCGGAAGCGTGTCAAGGGCAGCAATAATGTGTCATCACCGCCTGTAGCTTCTTGCCTCCCCCGTCCGTCTCGCCTCTGTGGCTACTACCAACCCCAACACCATCCTGCAGGAGGAGGAGGAGGTGAGAGGAATTTTTAGGTTTTGCATTGAGGGGCGAATGTATTGACAGTTGAGAGGCGGGACTAAAGAGCCAAAGCTCAACTCCATGTAAACACAACTAGATTAGTACACATTGTGCATATTATACACATTATGAACTAAACAACTTATTGAACTCTAGAAGGGGTTCCCAGCTATGCCTGGGTCTCTTCCCCCTGAACCAACCTCCCTCTTTTTCCCCCTCAACCTCCCTTCCCCCTGTTTTCCCCTTCAACCTCCCTTCCCCCTCTTTCCCCTTCAACCTCCCTTCCCCCTCTTTCCCTCTTCAACCTCCCTTCCCCCTCTTTCCCTCTTCAACCTCCCTTCCCCCTCTTTCCCTCTTCAACCTCCCTTCCCCCTCTTTCCCTCTTCAACCTCCCTTCCCCCTCTTTCCCTCTTCAACCTCCCTTCCCCCTCTTTCCCTCTTCAACCTCCCTTCCCCCTCTTTCCCTCTTCAACCTCCCTTCCCTCTCTTTCCCTCTTCAACCTCCCTTCCCTCTCTTTCCCTCTTCAACCTCCCTTCCCCCTCTTTCCCTCTTCAACCTCCCTTCAACCTCCCTTCCCCCTCTTTCCCCTTCAACCTTCCCTCTCTTTCCCCTTCAACCTTCCTTCCCTCTCTTCTCCCCTCAACCTCCCTTCCCCTCTTTTCCCCTCAACCTCCCTTCCCCCCTCAACCTCCCATCCCCTCTCAACACCCCATCCCACCTCTACCCTCTTCCCTCCCCCCCCCCCATTAACCTCCTTTTTTTCCTTTCTACACCCTTCCCCTTCCCTTGCTCCCCTCCTCTTCCTACCTCATCCCCTCCTCTTCCTGCCCCCCTGTCCTCCCCCACCCATCAGAAAAGTTATATTATGATGAAGCACTGGACCTGCTATACCATGGAGGAGAGGAGAAGGGGGGAGATGGGAAGTGGAAAGTGATAGAGAAAGAGAGACACCTATTTCCCACAGCCTATGGGAAACGCCACCAACATTCCATATTTTATGAGAATCGCAAGGAGGAAACACAATAAATGGTGCTATTTCTTAGAGCATTTCACTTCTGCTGAACTTGACTGGCCTATGACAGTCCCCCCCCCCCTCCTTCCCAACTTGATTCATCTTGGAAAATTTAGCGAGGGCCAACCCCTCCAAGCATCTGACTTCCCACCTTGAACAGACATTAAATTTGTTAGATATACTGTAGATAGCTTGGGAGCTACAGTTCCAGGATTCTAAGTAGGAGGGGCGAGTCAGAAATGGCATGAGTTTGGTATGTGAGAGGCAGGATTTGTGTGGCTTGTAAGGTTGAACTAGGTTAAGTCTCTACTGTTAACTTACTTATAACAGGTATCCATGCTTATCTCATTGAGCTAGTGGTAATGGATAAAGTACAAGGGACATTGACAAGGTTTTTGATAGTTCAGGATCTGAGCCTGTTATTCGTTTATTCGTAGGCTATAAGAAGGGTGGTAGGCAGGGAGCGAAGTGCACTCGCCGGTTTCCTGTAATCATATTCCTTCTGTAATAATAATCTTTTTGGCCTGTCTGGGTTTTAAGAAACAGAGGCATACACAGAGGAAGATAGACACAGACCTACACATAGGGAGAGTGGGGGATGTTTGAAGAGAGGGAAGGAGAGAGGTGGGGAGACAGGTGGATACATGGGGAGATTTGGAGAGTATGTGTAAGGAATTTCACCTTAGATTGAGTTGTTTTTTGGAAACTTATGAGATTTCTGTTGCTTGGCCATCTGTCTTGAGGTTGTCGGGTCTAGACAACTTTTGGGGTCAAGAGTAACATTACTGTTTTGAGCTTTAAAGATGTAGTATGAACAGGAGAATATGTAGCATTTCTATTTTCAACATACAAGATATACCAGTAAGTAAGTGTACTATGGTATGGTAGCATGATAGTTGTCAAGTGAGACATAATACATGTAAGAGTGTGCTTCCAGTTTAACATGCTTTTTTTTTTTGCTATACTGTGTGTATACATAGTGATGACTAAAATTAAATATGTCTATGTACAGACCTAAAATTTGTCACATTTTCAATTAATTTGAACCAGGGTTTGGGGAGTAGAAGTACCCCATGTATTATCTGTATTAGGTACAGTATAGTATTTAGTGGGCAGTTTTGTTTAAAAACTGTAATGTCTATTAGTACTATATTTCAATTATTAATAAATGAATGATTTAAAATAACAAATTTAGACCAAATATTACATTGGCAAAGAGCATTTCAAGCAGAGCGTTGGTAAAGTAAGACAGATGTGCTGTAGGTTAATTATGCAACCAGAGTTCCATTTGACTAATGAGCATTGTTTACATCTTACAGGTACATTGAGGAGCATGTTCAAAGGACAGGTGTGGCCATCGAGACACAGGGGTTCACCTTCATCACAAGTGGCCGCAAGCGAGAGTCTCTTATGGTGGGTACTTGGCTCACTCTCGCTCACTTTCCCCCTCCTTTTGTAATACTTCCTCTTTGAGTGAAGGAGAGGGGAATTGTGTGCTCTGACATCCTGTTAATTAATCAACTGCCCCTTCCACCTATCCTCTCCTTTGTTCCTATTTGTATGTGTCATTTTGAAAAAAAAGACTAACTGCAATTGCATGCATTAAAACAAACAATCTTGAAGCTAAATGGTTAAACAAGAGGAGGTTTTTTCTACAAGGTGATAGAAACCTGAGAACTGGTGAAATGGAACATTTAACAGCCACCAAAGGTAACAGGAGGAGGGGGGAGAAAAGGAAAACAGTGGTGATAACCTGTTCCTAAAAATACTGTATACAAATGTAAATGGGGTGAGATCAAAGTGTTGAAATTCAAAGGTATAATGCAGCAGAAAATCCATAACATAGTCTCTCTGGCAGAGATGCAACATGGAGAATATTTTAAAAAATATATTTTATTATACCGGTACGTATATACAAGAGTTCTTACATTCTTGTAAAGCCACTAACATGCATAGCATTTCGGGCAGGTCCTTGATCTTGATTTTTCCTGGAATACGACCCGCCAAATCGTTTAACAACCAGGCACCCATTCACTGCTGGGTGAACAGAGGTGTACCGTTAGGGATTGACACCTAGTCAGTCCTCCCTGGTCAGGATACGAATCCAGGCCAAATAGCTCGTGAAGCATGGGGTGAGTGCTACCACTGTCCCACAGGGACTAATTGACCATGTATTTCTAAGAGGATACTCAGAGATATGATGGAAAATACAGGAAAGGTGAAAGTGATGCTGTGCTAGTGACAGAATTAATTCTCAAGTGCAGATGATGAGTCACAATAATGTGGCTGAAGATATGATGACCAAATCATGCATCAGAAGATGGAGAAACGATGACGTTTTTGTCCATTCTGGACCAGTATCAAGATGTGTAATAGAAGAGAGGAAGGTACGGGCAAATAAATAAGATAGTGAGGTGAGGAGGAAGTATGAGATGAATGTAATTTCAAGAAGGTAAGAGTAAGGTGAATGGTAAGAATAGAATGAAAGGTACGAATGGGATGAGGAAGAATGAGATGAGGTAAGAATAAGAGGAAGATAAGAAAAAGAAAAGGGGGGTAAGAAAAAGGGTGTAGGCTTAAGTCAGGTCATGTTTGTTAAGAAGGTTGGAGCATTTAATTATGTACTGTGAAGGGGAAGAGTCAACCTTAACAAAGCCACGACTAAGAGTCCCTAACATGACAGAAGAGAGATTGTTTGTATCTGTAGATTTAACACTTCTTTTGTTCCTTAAGTCTGTCAATTGGTGTACAGCCAGTTTCACCAAAGTATTGGAGGGGACAAGACAAACAGGAAACAAAATTGACACCAGCAGCATTAGAAACAGTAGGAGCAGTGTGAACCAGATTACTACAAAGAGTGTTAGTTTGTTGGAAGGCAAGCTTTATCTCGAGGACAAAGGGTATTTGTTAAATTTTTTAGCTCGGATATGAAGGGAAGGCAGAGCACAGTGGAACTAGTGTTGGAAACAAGTTTGGGATGAAAGAAATTACATTTGGCTTAAGAATAGGCACAGTTGATCAAATGTAAGGGGTATCTAAGATGAGAGACTTATAAATAACAAAAATCAGAATCAAGAAACTGAGGGGTCACTGGTGCATAGAGCAGAGAGAGAGAAAAAGACAAGAACACTTTTCTTAACAGGAGGAGAATGGAAGGAAAAGAAGCGAATGTACATACCACTATGCATGGGTTTGTGGTAGACAGAGAGAAAGAAACTGGACACAGAGCTGTGAACATGAACGTCAAGAAAAGGAAGGAGGGAATTGGTCCCATTCAACTTTAAAACTGATAGGAGCCAGATTGTTAAGAGTAGAGGAAAGGCTGGAAAAGGCGAGTCAAGAGGCCATAGAGCAAAAGTGTCAACATAACGAGGCCATAGAGAGGGACGAGTATCAATAGTAGGAAGAAGAACGGTTTCAAAGTGCTCTATATAGTGATTGGCAAGAATAGGGGAGAGAGAAGAACCTATAGCCACACCGAAAATTTGAGAGAAGTACAGTATTTTCCATTGAAAGAGGAGGAGTTAAGAGTCAACACAATCTGATGAGTTCGAGGACTCTTCTCTCCCTTCTTTCTCCTTATCTTCCCAACAACCACCAGAAGATGGTTGTTGGGGATGGTAATATTGGGTCATGGTTGACCCAAATGCTCTCCTTTGAATTAAAGTGATAGTTATACCATATTCCAATCTTGTTAAATATCAGACTCAATCTTCACTAAGATTCATCCAGCATATTATTTTCAGCATCAAATGTTTGTCTTGTGTAGTTTAATAATTGAAGATGATAGTGTGTAGTGAAATGATTAATGATTATAGCAATGATGGTTGTGTGTATTGAATGTACCTACAGTGATGAAGGACAAGAATAGTGAAGATAAATACAGTGATGATAGTTGTATATAGTGAGGATGGTTATGGTGATAAATATAATGTGTAGTGAAAATATAATCTCCATCACCTGAGCAATGCCAGGTACCCCTTCTAGTTATCTATATAAACAATCTACCAGAAGTGATTCAGTTCAGTGAATATATTTGCAGGTGGTAAGTTACTAGGGGAGAGCAAAAGATTTTGAAGACTTCAGTGCTCTTCAAAATAACTTAGACAAAATATATGAATGGAGCAACAAATAACAGTTGCAATTTAATGTGGACAAGTGACAAGAAATGTGGAATAGGTGACATATGTGAAAACTAATTAAAGAACTTGAACAGAATAATGTAGACCACACCAAACACATTGTTAGAGGAGCCTATACCACACTTACATACTTACAAATATGTAGATAGGGAGACAAAGAAATATTAATGGCATTCATGAGACTGAAATTGGAATATGCAGCAGATGCATTGTTTCTGTGTTTAAATGGGAACATAAACTAAATATAAAACATGATACAGAATGGTTTCCAAATCTTAAAAATAAGAGCATAGGAAAGACAAGGAGGTGCTAGAAATACAAAAGCTAGTAGATAGAAGGAAAGGAGATGTGATCACCACATTCAAAATGATGATAGAAATTGACAAAGTTGACAAAGAAGAAATTTTGTAAACCTGCAACATCTAGAATAGGGGAACACAGACTCAGATCTAAAAGCCAAAGTTGAAAAAATACCTGAACATTCTCTTTTTGAACAGATTTGAAGACACTTGGAACAATTTAGGTGAGGAAGTGGTGGCTGCTTAAGCTATTAGTAGCTTCAAAGTGTCATATGTTAAAAATTATACGAAAGGTGGGACACCATGAGCATAGCTCTTGTCATTTAACTACACTTTGGTAATTATACATGCAGACTCACACATGCTTGTGTAATTACCTAAGAATTTGGCTTGCACTTAGCCAAATACTGTATGACGTTAGTACTGTACTGGTTGGATTTTGCTATTACAGTATAACTAGATTGCAAAAAAATTAATCTAGTGTAATTATGTCTAATAGCCATAGGATTTTTGTTTATTTTCTTTTATCTTTTCTAAAATTGGTCTATGTTGTGAAATTGTTACATTATACTGTTTAGTTAATGTGTGGTTGGAGGCTTGCTATGTGATTCACGCCTTTGATAACATGACTGTCTTTGTTCTTTGTACAGGGCAATGCTACCCTTCATCTCTATCCCCACTTCAAAGCTCTACAAGAAATTGATGGTAAGAATGTTTGTGCCTGTTGCTATACTGTATTTGTTGGATTTAAGAAACGCTTATTTTTTATTAAGTTTCTCCTAATTTGGTTGTAATTATCTCTTAACATAAAAAATATTATTTGGTAAGAAAATACTGTATACAGTACTGAGAAATATATTGATTGAGATAATGTTTAGCATTCTTAATGGAAAGTGGAAATAAAAATTATGTAAAATTTATAATTGATAATAATATGCTTTTGAACCATATCTTAGTTTTACTGAATTACAGGTATTAACAATATACTGTACTACAAATTCTTGCTAATTACAATTTCAAAATGTGGCTAAAATTTATTATTTTATTAATGCTGGCATTATATTTAGTATATTATGTATTCTACTGTACTGTGTTTAATTAGTTTTACTGGCGATTCCAAAAATTTGTTAGGGACCATTTTAGATAAATGTTAAATAAAGCATCCCTTTAATATATAAAATATTCAGTAATATTTCTGTAGTGACGTTATGATGAGCCGTTATCAGAGTCTTCCTGTCTTGGGTCAAGCTGGAGTGCACGTGTGCGGATATACCAGCTGCGTATTATCTCTGTTTGTCCCCGACAGATAGTTTCAAGATTCTTTCATCTTTTTCCAAACAATTTTGTTTATCATTGTATGCCTGTTGTCACTATATGCATTATGTTTGTGACTTTTGTATGCAACACAAGTCTCTCTTTCTACGCACATACAGAAGTGTAATTACACTTAATTACACAAACACACACTGAGCTTAGTGAGTAGGTGGAGGAGACTAAAACCGTCAGTAGTTTCAAAGTGTTACGTGACAGAGTACTGTACTGGGAAGTTGGGACACAACGAGCATACCTCTCATCCTGTAACTTCATTTAGATAATTACACACACACATATGACCAACTAACTACCACCCCACTCCAATCTTACTTGCTCTCTACTCAGAAGGTATATACAGTATACGATACTCTCTTAAAGGTACTGTATTCATATTATAGACTTCTGAAGTTACACACATGATACTCTTCTGATATACTTAGGTTAAATATATTGAGATAATACCTATGAGTAAAGTTGTAATTAATGAAACACTACATTAGAGAATGTCAATGTCTTTACAGTGGTTGGCATTTTATTTGTTTGCAGTTGTTAAGTTCGTGCTCAAAATGTGCACAAATATAGAAGTATTTGTACTGTTATTCAGAAGGAAATCCTGTCAGCTTTTCCAAATAAGGACATTAAATGTTTCAAGGCTTGTGATTGGTTGATGCAGGTGAGTTTCTTTTATTGTGCTTGAAATGTTGCTTTTAACTAACCTATTAGCTTCAGCTTTAAAATAAAACAAATTCTTCAGATAAAGTACTTTTTATCCATTTGAATATCTAAGTTGTATTTGTATTGGACAATATTATAATGTATAATAGGATATTATAATGTAGCTTTGTCATTAACAGATACTCTGTGGCATTCTCTCATTGGTGGAGGTAAGAGTCCTCCTTCCATGGATTAATTATTGTTTTATTATTGGTCTTTGCCTGCTTATCATTAAATTTTCTAAGTTTATTCGGCTTTTCAAGTTATGCCGATAATAATTTTTGAGAAACAAATGTATAAGAAAAAGTGACAACTTTAAAGGATATGTTATTGTAGTGTTGGTAACTTGACACCGAGCCTGGGGCCAGCGTGTGATAAGGCCGGGCACCAGAGCGTCGCTCCCGGAGCGTATATATCCACGCTAGTATGATCATATTTTGTCACAACCGTCAAAGCTACAGTAGCACGAACACGCATCATCTCTTGTGCCTAGTATCCTTGTCGTTTTCCATATTTGTGTCCAAGAGCCTGGCCAGGAAAAATGAAACTTTCCAACATTGTCTTCTGTATAAATCAGTGTGGCGCTGCTTTGTGGTGTAATGAAAAATCTTTGAACGTCAGTGTTGCTGTTTGTACAAAAACAAAGGTATTGCTCTTATGTAAATAATTAGTTTTTGAGATAAAAAAAAAAACAGCTTGTTGACTGGTTCCTTGTGAGACCCTCTGTTTCACTTAATTTGATTAGGAATTGTATGTAGTTGAATGATAGCTTTTATGAGAGATTTTGCCAGAATCATATCTTGAATATAAATACTTTTAAGTCCTTGAATCAATAAATGCAGTAATTTTTCTGAATTGTAGCCAAGGATGTTATATAAATTTCTTGGTAAATTTGGCCAAAAACACACGTTCATTACTAGGGGAATAACAGTAGTGCATTTTATCATAGAATATAAATATATATTAAGTATTGAATATGTTACTCTCAGTGATGAGGTTTATAACTGAACCCATATCAATATTGTAAGTGTATTGTGCTCAAGTGCCTACCTACAGTGACACTGTGAGGTGTGTTACTGGTGCTGCAGTAGTGGTGCTGCACAAGATTCTCTGCTGTGTCTGCAGGAATTAGTGTGTTTAGAATGTCTCTTCTTTGGGCTCCTAGCGAGATTCTAACAGCGAGCTGCCCAATGAAGGGCTGTTCTCAACACTACAAGTCATCGCTTGCGGGCACCCAATACATCACACTGCCTAGTGGAGACCTGTTCTTGATGAGAAAATCGTACCCATCATGGCTCATTTGAGGACTCCCATTGTAATGGGATTACTTTATACTGTATTCCAGTATTAACCCCTATTATTATGGGATTAGTTTATACTGTACAGTATACCAATGTTAACCCCTCCTTATTATGGGATTAGTTTATACTGTATACCAGTGTTAACCCTCATTATTATGGGATTGGTTTATACTGTATACCAATGTAAACCCTCACTTATTATGGTATAACTAATTTGATGACTAAACCACGCACCAGAAGAGGAAGAAACAATGTTTCGTTCCATCCTGGGCCATTATCAATTCGTATGTGACGGTCCGGGACGGACTGAAATGTTGTCGTTTCCTCATCTTCTGGTGTGTGGTTTGGTCACCATATCTTCAGTCATGTTACTGTGACTCATCATCTGTGTATAACTAATTTTCTTTCATTTAGTTGAAATGTTCAAAATTTGATGTTCAATGTTTTTTTTCAACTAGGAGTGGTGGATTACTTGAACACTGAGATAAGCACTTCGAAGCAGAAGAAATTCAGCTTAGTGACATTTATTGACACGCCTGGCCTTGTTGATGGTGACATGAAGTACCCGTTTGATGTCAACCACTCAATGCTATGGCTGGGTAAGTGATGATTATATTTTGATTTCTTACAACTGTACCCTGGGGAAGTTACTGTAGCAGCATGGCTGTGATTGCTAAATGAGCTCTTTTCACTACGAAGGCAGAGCCTCACTAGGGAAAGGTTGCCACAAGTCAGGCTGTGGGAGTATGAGAACTCTCAGGATCAACAGGCAACAGGTATATTACACATAGGCATTTCATAAATGGAAAAATAGCATTTCAATCTTAGTTCGATGAAATAAATTACAGTACACTTTAAACTAATCAATTTAACGTTAGATTCTTTTCCTAAGCACTTCTTTAAGGGTTATTATAGCTACAGACATCTGCTCTTGGTTTCAAGATTGAAAAAAAATGATTATTATTCATTGCCAGAACATGCTCAAGACATATAGAACATATATAAAATCATGGTTAGCCGATATGTATAACTATTACAAATTTCATACAAGCATTGTTACCAAGTGTAAATTATTATGTTCTGTTGTTATTTGTTATACTAATTACCATTCCCAGTACATAATATTGAACTGAACTGAGAACATATCTGTTCAATTTAAGGTAAAAGCATTGAGGTTTTAGCAAGCATATTTACAAAAAAAATTGTTCTAGGCTGTGGCTGTGTCAAGCTGTAGTCGAAGATTTGGCTAATTGTTAGCAAACTGGAATGACGGGTATTAATATTAGAAAGATTTTGACTGTAATAGAGTTGTGCATAAAGTACGGTATATGTTAGAAAAAAAAATGAGAGAACTTGATCATTTTAAATTGGGAAGTAAATTATAATTTGTTTTATTGTACATTGTTTTTGTTGAATGACATACATAAGATATTTGCACATTGTATCACTGACTGTCAAGCTGTAGTCATGGCTGGGTGTGGTTGTAGTCATGGCTGGGTGTGGCTGTGTCAAGCTGTAGTCATGGTTGGGTGTGGCTGTGTCAAGCTGTAGTCATGGTTGGGTGTGGCTGTGTCAAGCTGTAGTCATGGCTGGGTGTGGCTGTGTCAAGCTGTAGTCATGGCTGGGTGTGGCTGTGTCAAGCTGTAGTAAAGACCTAAAGGAAAGAGGGGGGGGGGAGTCATGTCTGGCCATGCTTGGGAAGGGGGTAAGGAGCTGTCAAACCATAGCCATACATATAAGCCACTAACAATCTATGCATTTTATTTTGCCATCACAGAAATGTAGCATGTTTTCTTTATTCAGGTGAGGTTCTTTTTTTTTAATACAGTAGTTTATTTATATACAGTAGTTCAATTTTAAATAAATCTGTAAATTGGTCCCATAAGGATTTCAAATACTCAGTGATTTGGCTATTGGTTACTTTGTCATAACTGTATTGCACAGGCATTTTAAATTTATGCACTGCATTTATTCAACATTACCTTCAGTAACTTGTGTAGATATTTATAGCACATAACATTTTGATAAAATATTGTATTTTGCTCCAACAGGGGATTTGTGTGATTTGATTTTTGTCTTCTTTGATCCAATTGGGCAAGCATTATGTAAACGAACTCTGAACATTGTTGAGCAACTAAATGAAACCCACTCGGACAGAATCCGCTTTTACTTATCCAAGGCTGATGAAGCAGGCCATGAAAGTGATAGACAGAGGTTAGTACAATGCAAGCTTGTTGTAATTACTAACGTGTACACGATCATTGCCTCATTATAACCACTATAGTGTATAATTTTAATCAGTTACAGTAGTTGAAAATATTTCTTTACATTATAATTTTGGAGAATCTTCTGCAACTTGAGACAATTTTGAGTTTTGAACTTGTGGTCTACTTGAAACTCCCAGAATGGGTCTACAAATTTTAAACTTTTTCTCTATAGGGTGATGATGCAAATTGTACAGGAACTGTGCAAACGGCCAGGGCTGAACAAGACGGGCTTTGACATGCCTACTATTTACATCCCAAATCCAAATAAAGTAAGCAATATTTTATACATATATATATACTGTTATGTACAGTACTTTATTACTAAAATAGACCATTGGTTTCCAAAAAATTTTGGCCCACTAGCCCCTGGTTCCAAAAACTGTTCTATGGGGTAAGCTATAGTCATAAATCATAAATTAACAATTAAGGCACTCCAAGGGGCTAAAGTCCAATACCCCGCTAAGTAACCCCACTAGGCAGTACCACCCTCTGGGGGTTGTTCTGGAAAGCACTGATATACGCTGTGGTATATCATGTACATAAATATTGAAATTAACGACTTGGCTGTTCTACTGTGTATAAATAATATGGGTTTCTGTTTTACAGGCCACTCGGTGCGTGAACCAGATTGACGAGGTGTGTAAGGATATAGAGAAGACTATCAATCAAACTATTCAGAACACATTAAACCAGTTGGAACGGGACTGTGAGAAAATTTCCTCTCTTGTTGACAATGCAATCGAAGCCGATAACAGAGCTAGAGCATACAATTTCCATGCTAAGGTAATGCTTTGGTGTTTGATATCATGAATACAGTAATAATAATCACATCATAACCAAACAAATATGTGGAATTTTGGGGTACCTGTTCATGCATTTCTTCAATGGTCTTTAAGCAATTAATGTACATATATATTATGTTACAAGATTATGATATGTGTGGGTGCCCTTTTAAGAATGAGTTGCTAAGACAAAATTTGGCACAGAATGATAAATTCCCTCCAAATTTGTTCTGCTGTTTTTCTAAATCTTTTAATGTACTTTCCTCTCAGAATTGTTTTTGCATATCAAATTCACGTGTTGGAATATCTCAATCATTAGTGTTCTTCCATAAATTATGCTCATTATATTTATTGTTGTTATTTTTTCTTTATTTTATAAATATAGCACAATTCTTAATTTCCATGTCTGTAGGATACTTTGCAGTACTTCTGTAAATATTTGCATACAGTATTTTTAATGGTGTGAGCAGCTACTGTCGTGATGCCATAAAAATATAATTTTAAATTGCTCTTGTTTGCTCCTTTTTTGTAATGATCATACTTCATTTTAGTTTGCTTTATCACTTATCTTTGTATACATTAATCTACAAGAATGTCTGTCTTAGGTTGGGGCCAGATGCTTTTGGCTAGCCTTGCCAAACTTTGCGGCATGACTTGTCTTTGGGGATTGTCATAGATGGGTCAGGGTTGAGCCCCATGGCCCCTTTGCATGAAATGGCAAATCCTACCAATTTCTTGTATCACTAAATACGAGATTCCATCCTCGCCAAGATTCACCTAGCATATTGTTTTCTATATGATTAAATGTTAAGTTTCTGTTGTATAGTTTATTGATGACGGTATTTAGTGAAATGGTTACTGGGATGAAGAGAAAATGGTGAAATGGTTACTGGGAGGAAAGGGTCCTGAAAGATATTGTTGATAGGAACGTTATCCCTACAGACAAAAGTCAGAAAATACAATTGATAATTTATTATAAAACCAAAAAAATGGCCGATCTCATGGAAAAACTCCCCAGACACCATGCAGAACGCCTTGTAGGATACCAACGTCGTCTATGCCTTTAAATGCCCGACTATAAGCCCCAAGGAACTCAGTATATAGGCAAGACAACGTCTCTTTCCAGGCGACTAATAATGCATAAACAACAGGACTCCATCAAGGAACATGTAATCTCTTCTCACAACCAGACCATCACCAGAGAAATCCTTAAACAAACAACACAGAAATCATTGATAGGTACAGCGATAGCAGATGGCTCGACATCAGCGAGGCACTACACATCAAAAAGTCAACACCAGCAATCAACAGCCAATGCACAACTATATTCTACCTACTTCAAGGCACTGTATGGGCCAATAGGCCCTCAGCAGTTACTTCCATTCTCATATACCTACCTCACCCAATACCCACCTTTGTGTCACCTCACCCAAAATGAATAAAAAGCAAATTATATTATATATATTATACATATATACCACGTTTGACTGCTGTAAAGAGTTCTCAGTTGACTTGGGGCTGTTTTTAATGAGGTCGGTGGTCTTCTTTGATTTATAGTACATGTCTGTTTTAGTTAGGGTTGTGGGTTTTGCTCCTTTATGGATTATTTTCTCCTCCTTATATTCACTGTGCATGGTAGATTTGTAATATAATTTTATTATAGGACTTGTAGTTTCTGTTGTTGGTTCAGGGTTGTACCATCGGTCCAAGTGTTGTCTTATAGTGGTGTTTATCTCTTGGTTACTATAGCCATTATTCACCAGTATTTGTGTTATCATCTCAAACTAAATATTATCAATCATTAAAAGCTACTTTTTCTTGCTGTTTCTCTGCATGTATACAGTACTTTGCTTTGGTTCTCAAAAATATTAATTTCTAAGCTTTATGAGAGATGGTGAGATTTGTTCAGCTCAATCTCTCAAGTTACTTGTCTTCAGATGATATTAATTATGTATTACAGTAATACACTAACAGAATAGTATGATATGCATCACAAGTGCATATTTAGGAAAAGGGTTGATAGAACAAGGATATTTTGTATACTTTCAGATGAAAGGATTGGCTCTATCAACATTTGGATTTTTCCTTCCTGTAGCATTAGTAATGCAAGTGCTAGTGTCAACAGCTCCCCGGGAACTTCTAAACAATCTGGCTGGAGAAGAACTCGCTGATGCAATTTCTTCTTTCCTGGTTTGTATTTTTGTTATGTTCAAATTTGCTGCCCACTGATATTAAGTCTTGGCATGTGGCTGTGAAAGGTGCCACTCTGCCAGTGCACAAAAAAAAAAAAAAAAATAAAAGATACATTTTATGCATGTAAGAAGTATGAAAAAGTTTTTATTTTTATTTGGTGTGTGGATTGGAAGAAAGGTGGTGGTGGGGGGAGTCATAGGGTCTGTGGACTTAGGGACATAGCCAAAGGTTGGCGTTTTCCCAGATGAGTAGCTCGGGAAGCCACTGAGGAACCCACCAGAGAGAGACATTTCGTTACATGTACATTCAATGCTGGATTTTTTTATGCACATTTAAGTTGCCATTTAGAAATGCCTGCATAAATCAAATGGAATAACTAAAACAAGATTAGACTTGATATTTTAATAAAATAAGATATTTTAAACAATTTGATATATTTCTTTTGGTGAAATTGCATATATACAGTACTGTAACATTATATATGAAAAAAAAAAACAGAGGCTGATCTGTAGCATTGAAGTTAGCATAATTTTATACAGGCTCCAACTACTGCCATTTGGGAGAGCATTGATGATGACAACCAGATGGTGATCTTGGCTGTGGTGCTGGTGCTGTCGGGATTCTGTCTCATAATCTCCCGCATCATAAATCAAGCCAAGCCAACACTCCAACGTCGCTCCAAGAAATTACTTAATGAGAAGCGGGAGTATGTCAACGGCCACGTGAAGGCTCAAAAGGTAAGTGTGTTTCTTTGGCACATGTTTTTTGGTTATTTGTTTTTATTATGACACTTGCAAAATATCTATAAATGCACCATTCATTCATATTTTTATATTGTTACTAGTCAACACTGTACTAATTTTCTTTTCTTCCACAGCAAAAACTTTATTCTGAATACCTGCAGCAGAGTGTATCTGATCATGATTTATAAGTCAGTGGTTAGAGGACCTTAATATATGCTTTTAAATTATCAATCTCGAATTAAAATAGCTGTTTTCTAGTACAAAACAAAATGTATGTTCACTTGGTGCCTAAATCTTCTTACAGTAATCCAGATAAAAAACAGTATTTTTGTAAAGCCAGTAACTTGCATGATAGTACTTTAGTTAGCCAAATGTTGTTCCATATATGAATTATATTATTAAGAAGTTTGATATTTTGAAAGTCCTCAGAAAACATACATGGTTTTTTATCCTACATTTAAGAATTTGAAAAGTTATATATGTGAAAACTCACCAACATGGTGGGGTTTCCAAACCCCTGACCAGCTCCACTGCTTGGCAATTCCAGCCTCAACCTGAGAACTCATTCTTGCACAGATCCTGAACGTGAGGTTGTGAGGGTGGTGTTTTAGGTAAAGCATTCCTAGGCAATATGCAGCATGGTTGGGTTGAAATGCACTTGGTGCTACTGAATGCTTACACCCACATGTAATTTGTATCCTGTACAATGTTTATAACTGTTTTGTTTGATTATATATGTAGAATTGATCATATATGTTGAAATGTTTGTTTATATTTAGTGTTTTTATAGGCACCTGTTATTTCAATAACTATAGCATATTTATTTTCTTAATACTGTATTAACCAAAGAAAAATGCCCTACAGACAATGCCAGTGCTAATGTTGCTAAACCCTGTATGAAAGCTTTAAATTTGCATCTGTTATGGATTACACATGAGAATTTGGCATTATTAGCAGGAATTTCACTATTACTACAGTATTGCATGAAAGGTATGAACATTAATACCAGCAGCAATACTCACTTGAGAGGGATATTTTTGTATGTGCGCATATGGAACACTAATGATATTGCAGACTGTAATAAGTTTAATATAATAAAAAGAGGACTTTGTATTGTTGCTTATGACTTGCCTTGCTTGGAAAAATGCTATATTATTATATGAAAAGTTATGTTCATCTTCCAATGCCTGACATTATGCATTCCAACAGGCAGGGTAGGCCAATGGATCTTCATACCGTCCCCTTTTCCAGACATACCTTTTTATCAAAATTTCTTGATACTGTATATGAAAGATCAACCTCATTCTGCCCCCTTTGTGTAAAACAGGGACTGCACATTCAAATCCACTTAAACACTGGCTTTATCCTGTTAAAAATAATAGACAAACCTTAATATAAACAACAGTTTGGGGTCATGGGCAAGTTATTGGTCTTAAATGGAACAAAATCCTGTGGATTGTTATATTTGAAATCAACATGGTTGAAAAAGACTTAGTTAGATTCTAGGTTTAAGATTTTATAGTGAAATTTGCCCATATAGTGGAAAATAAGCAGCAGGAGTATGAATGATACCACCTTAAATATTACCTGTACTCAAAATGCAATTTAAACAATTTTGCTACATGAATGCTATGTTAAGAAGTCAAAACAAAACATTGATTGGTCTCATTTAAGAGTTTGGTAAAATTTTCATTTACCTGTCATGGTGAACGTACAGAGATAAGAGGGAGATTATATGGTTACTTTCTGTAATTAGGTTCTTGACAATATATGCATGCTTTAAACTAATGTGTCCCTGAATATAAAAGCCATAGAGTGCTGGAAAAAGTTGAAAAAAAATTACATTCAAAATACATTTTTTATATATACAGTACTGTATATATGCGAAACAACCAGAGAAATAGGAAAGGGAGATAAACGTTTCAGCTGATCGAAGCCGTTGTCAACACTGGACTGACCGAGAGAAACATTGGGAGGGTGGAGGCCAACAACTGCGACCTGACCCCCCCATCCTTGGGAAAAGATTTACCCAGAAACAAGTATAGATTAGCTTAGAACAGTCAAAAGGAACAAGCAGTCAGAGAATAATTAAACAAAAAGTCTCATTGAACAAACACATAATATTTGATTATAATACTGTAATGAGACACTGTAACTCTCCACCATCAGAGGTTTTACTTAAACTGTTGTGCAATATTGTAACTTAAAAATGGGTCAAGTTCTTACATACCAGTACTAACATTGAGAAGATTTGGACACTGACTAATTAGGGCAGACTCAATCAAATTCCATTCCACGAAACTGCTGCAATTGTAATGTTTTTCGCTTCTTCTCAATTAATAGTGTGATCACACAAACCTGTGTGTAGATACAATGCACTAGACATTTGGGCAGTTCTAATACTATAAGCATGTTGGGATAAACACAATTGTAAGGATTTTCCAGTTTGTCCAAGGTACAGAATCACAATCATTGCAGGGAATCGAATACACACAACCTCCTGTACCAGGGAAGTTTGTATTAAATAGGACTTTATCGTTCTATTATTGAACACCAAACTGATATTAAGGTTCTTAAAAACCAGGGAAAGTTTTTCAAATCCTACTGCATAAGGTACCACCACAGAGTTTTCTAATTTCTGGCTTAGCTTTGGGGATATGATTATAAAACTTATGTTTAGCTAGCCTGAAAGAGCAATCCAAAAACATCTTAGTATTGAAACTCTTCCCAATTTCACATATTTTAGTAATCTTTTCATAAAAAAAACTCGGGGCTGCACACCCTCAAGACTCGAAAGAACATTCCTGAAAATATTGCCCGTTTAACTTTATTATGATTTGATTAATAATGAACATACGAACCCACGTTGGTAGGTTTCCTATACACATTAAATTTGAACCTTCTTTTGATTCTGGATTATGTCCAAAAACAGAAGAGCATCATTCTTCTCATTCTCACATAGGAATTTTATTGAAGGCACCAAAGAATTAAGTTCATTGAGAAAAACTGTTTGGTCTTGGTCACCCGGCCATAAGATTCGAATCAAATAGTTCTTAGTGATCTATGGCTTGCGCGTTCATGCAACTTCCTCAGACATAAATTTTGGTAGCATTCTTTCTTGCAAACATATTTGTTGAATATGACCGAAAGAGTGCATTTAATAATTCTAACAAATCTTTTTCAATATTTCTTATGCTTTTCTTCACTGTCGAGGGAAATTGAAAAATTGACTAAAGTTCATTTTCACCCTTTTGGTCTGATGCCTAGGTATGCATTTCACAAGGTCACTCCTTACATTCTTAAAGACTAATTTACCATGACTGAGTGATGAAGATTAAGCCATCAAAGAGGTGAGGTGGCGTGGGCATAAATAGCCCGTAAGTGGTAGATTTTTTGGAGTGAATGTGATCTTTGGTCGTGAAAGGATATACTGTGTACTGTGCTCACATTTAAATTGCCAGTCCTTACTATATGACTATCGCGGGGAAAGGATACTGCTTTACAATATTTATGAGGGTGTCCAGCTGCTGAAATTTACCATGCTGCTGCTGCTGCTTTTTATTTAGCTACTCAGAACTTAATGTCCATGTAGCACAGGCAATAGCGAGTTCGGTTATGCGCGATAACTTTGTTACTGTGATATTTGGGTCAAAGTTTTAAATGGAGGTGGAGGTTTCCTCCTTTTTTCCCCCCTGTTTATTTTTCACTTCTGTTTTAGTGCACTGGTTTTAATCTTGTTTTAATATTATCTTGGCAGATATAGATGCACAGTGTTCACTAGTGTGACTCATTCTTCATCTGCTTTTCTAATCATTGTAGTCGCTGTGGATTTTGCATCTAATGCAGCTGCTGTCATTAGATTAATGTCAAGTTTGATGCACGGGGCTTCAGTTGATTTACCATGCTTTTGCACAGGCTTATATTCTCTTTGGGTGAGGTGGTACAGAACATGTGGATGAATGGCATATCATAGGGGATATTGATAGCGTATTACATGCATCAACATGTAATGTTGATGCATGTAATACGGTAATCTCGCCTCCATTAATAGATATTTTAGCTTATGGATCTTTGTCCACTCAGGTGTAGTTGGGTATATAATCCCAACTCTTATGTCATCTGTGTATTTCCTTGATAATGTGGTGAAACACAAACATTTGGAATTTTCATTTCATTTTCCTAGTGGATATTTATGCATATATATGCAGCCCATCCTCCTGTTTTGGTAGTACTTATAGTAACGATGAGGACCATAGTATATATACCGATGTACAATGAAAGAGATCGGCAATACTGAGTTGGACAAACCAGAAAACTATTTTCTATTTATGTGTCAAAGACAAACTAACCTAACCTAACCTTCCTAGGCCATATATAGTGCATGTGTGTATGCTATACTAGGCCTAGAAATATTTAAGTTTGTTCTTTAGCTTCATTTTTCAGACTATAAAGTGACTAGTACCAAGTTCTACTATCTAATTGCTTAGAATGGCAATCTTTGTACTATGGTGCACATAGTTACAAAAATTACTATATAAACAGGAGAGTGGGTTGATATATGGATTGTTTCAAAGGAGAGTCCTTTGAAACAAACACTCCATTACATTTCTAATTTATCATTCTTAATTAAATTTGTAAAAAAAATCTGAAACTAATAACCATTTAATAAATAAATCTCATGTGCTAGTTTTTTATAAATGAAAATATCAACTGGATTTTTGCCCTTTGTGTAAGACAGCCAACAGCTGTGTGTGGAGAGCAGCTGCCGCCTTCTTCCTGGTGGGCAGAGTTGCAGTGTAGGTATTACCATAAGGATGACCAGCACAGTCTTCAACCAAGGAGAATAGTAAGGGATACTTCTCCATTACCCATGAAGGAGCAGTATGCAAGAGACCTTCAGGAAGATCTTGGGAAAAGGCTGACGATGAGAGCATTCCCTGAAAAATGTCAGAAAAACAAATGGTGAACTTGAATAAGTAAATAAGTAACCAATATTCCTAACCAGTGATGGAATGCTATCAGCTCTGACACTACCATTAAATTCAATAGTTTCTTCTCATCCATTGGCACATCCCTTGCAAATGTAATCCCAGTATTAATAACTAACTTACAGGCAGCTATCCTGAGTCTCTGTACCTAACTTCCACTAATTCCTCAGATGTTAATGATAAAATCCTCTCACTTAAAACTAATTCAAGTACCCTTGCTGAGATACCAGCCCTAATTTACAAAAAAGCCTCAAGATTTTTAGCTCTGGGCATTGCATTGCTCTACAACATACCATTTGAACTCTGAACCTTCCCTGATATCATAAAAAAAAAAAAAAGTTGAATGTAATTAAATATTTCAGTGTGAGCCCACAAGGCTTCCTTAAGCTATTATCATTGACTCAGTGCCATACTACAAGGTGCCATCAATTGCAGATTTCTATTGGCCTACCGGGGACAACGAGCCAGAACCTGGCCTGTATGAATCTATCTGGCCTGAAATATGTATCTACATATACAAGGGGGGGCCAGATGCGCCTGGGGGTGCGCATCCGACCTGGCTGCCGGAACTACAGATGACCCACCTCGATTAACAGCAGGCGATGCCCTGGCTCTATTGGATCTCTACAAAAGGCGAGAACTGCACACACACACAAAGTCCGACAAAGGATGGCAACCAACAGCCACAGCAGCCAAGGACTGAGTGAAAACTTGGCTTGAGAACTGGTTAGAAGGGCCCCCCACATGCCAAAGGTTTTTCTTCCTCATATTGGGTGTACTGTATTACAAGGTTCCAGAGTTATCCTGGCTAGTGGACTGTCCTTTGTTCTCCCCTTGAAGAGACCTTAACAAGTCATCAATAAAGAAGACATCCTTTGCAGATGACACAAAAATCAACATGAAAATTACCTCGGCTGAAGACATTGAAAAACTTCAATGTCAAAACTTCAGGCAACATAAGAACAAATCCACAGGAGCCTTGATGAGGGTTCGAACCTATGCAGTGAGAGTTCCCAGACGCCCTCTAGTCAACTGTACCACGTTAGTCAAAATAATTGCAATCTGGAGTGCTACTGCGCCCACAAGGGTGCCGAGGTTTCCACTGAATCCTAACAGAGGTTTCACACAATTCCTCCATGCACTCTGGCTCTGTCAACCAGCAGTACTACCCGACACTCCTACTTCAATACACAGAAAAATCACATTAACAATTTCTCTGGCCCGGCCCAGTAACTGCTGCTGTCTGGCAGTAAGAAAATATAGCATCATCCCATGTGGTATACCATTATCTAAATGTGTCACTAATATCTTGTTTATGTTCAAAACTCAGTCACCATTATATTACCATAATGATTAATGTGAAAAACAGCATACATTTTTCTAATAGAAATATATAAAAACAAAAGTTTACTAAATTACATAATTCCTTGCCAAATGTTCTTATTTGCATTTATACCAATATTATATGCACCAATAACACTTGTAACCTACTATTGCATTAATTAGACCATATTCTTATACTGTATGTCATTATGAGACCATTTTCAAATTATATAATTACTGTATTTTGAAATTTATGAACTTTATTAACTATGGTATCTAAACATTTTTAATGAATTTTCAGATCTATTGGATGCATTTATAATGATATTCTATTTCTTGGGAAAATGTATGGTCGGGTATTGAAATCTTTTGGCCATATTTCTATTGGAAAATGTACCCCTAATAATACTCTTTTGCATAATACTAACCTTACATACTGCAAAGAAGTTATGGTCAGAAGAGGTATGGCCACACAGATCTTCATATGAAAAGCTAAGACAGTCTCGACATCCAAATCCATCATTAACATGTTCTGTGGGGTCTGCAAGAACATAGCAATAGCCATTTTTAATCTGCTTCCAATTAAAGTTATTTTTCTATCTACATTTCTATTTTAATTATACTGTACTCGACTAAAAATAATTACCAAAATAGATCTAAATCAGTATTGCTATGGAGCACTATGTGTATTGAAGTTTATTAATATAAATGAATTATTAACTTTAAAATATTATTACTAAGAGTAGAAAGACAAATGTTTACTTGCATTTAATAAACATTTCATCTAGACATTTTGTTTATAAAATAAATTTTTGGATTATGAAAGTAAGTGCATTCTACCAGATGCATAACTAAGCTAGTGCATCCCAAACTTTTTGAGGTCCACCGCAACCCCAAAATTTGAAATCACACTGGCCTTGCAAACCCAAATGCTACTAGTATCTACTCGGCACCCAGCAATGGACATGTTCACTTTTTATGGGGAGACAACAATGAGGTCTTGATAAGGATGATTGGATTTTAGCTTTGAGGCTGTTGTCGGATGACAGATTGACGAGTCTTTCTTTTTCATTCATGTTTAAATTGCTATCTTCAATGTTTATTGCAAATGGATCTATTATCCACATATTGCATTTCTGGGATCTTCTTTCTTTGAATAATAATGAGCAAAAGATTCTGCGAGTGATCGTAAGTGCTATTGAACAATGGTTACCACCTGCCGGTTGACATCCTTCTCTCTCATATACAGTAGTCATCAAAATTTGAAAAATTACAGTACTATACAATATAGAGTATGTCAGCAACATGTCCATATGTAAGTAGATTCATATCTAACATTTGTATGATGGGAACCCAAGCCCTTACCATAACTAAAAATGGATAATTATGTACTAAGGTACATGTGAGCACTTATCACAGGAAAGAATAAATGTATCTTTCATACAATATCCAATACAGCAGAAGCATACAGTATGCTTCTTACTGAAGTAAAGAATGACTGGGTCTACCATAAAATATTCAGTACAACAAAGAAGCACTTACCAAGGCCAGGAATAGATGGATCTACCATTACAATATTTTCGGCATCAATTATTTTTACTTTGCCATTAGAGTCGACAGCGAAATTGTCCAATGACACATCAGTCAAGTACAACCGAACATCCCCATCTGTGAAGTCCTGAGCAAGTTCTAGCAATTGGTGAGCATAATCAGCCCGAACAATCCAAGGCACTTGACTGAGTTGTGTGAGAGTTGGTCCAACGTAACTCTCCACCATGACACGGCCACACATTCCATGTAAGGAAGGAAACCACTGCTGGTGCTGGTAGGCCTAGAAGTCAATACATTATTGTATCAGGATACTGAACAAAATTAATGAATCCCTAAGCATATTCATGAAAAACAAATGCTTAAAAATTTAAATATAACATATGAAACAATTATCTATACAGTACTGTATTTTAAGTACAAAATGGGGATGATTAAGAAAAAGCATCTCCTGTTTTCTGACTTACATTATGGATCGTTGAGCTTGAAACTGTTGCTCCATATCATATCATATCTCATCATATATCATGGAAGCAATAATATGGGTCAATATCTTGAGGTTATCTTGAGATGATTTCGGGGCTTTAGTGTCCCCGCGGCCCGGTCCTCGACCAGGCCTCCACCCCCAGGAAGCAGCCCGTGACAGCTGACTAACACCCAGGTACCTATTTCACTGCTAGGTAACAGGGGCATAGGGTGAAAGAAACTCTGCCCATTGTTTCTCGCCGGCGCCTGGGATCGAACCCAAGACCACAGGATCACAAGCCCAGCGTGCTGTCCGCTCGGCCGACCGGCTCCCACTATATGAACCGGCTCGACCGGCTCCCACAATAGACCAATATGCATTCCCAACCTGTGCACTGTATGGGTTAGTAGAGAAACCTTGATATAGTTGTGTTCAGGCAACACAACAAGTGTGAGACAAACCTTCCAAAGAGTGGACGAGCACCGCCTGTCGGCACGTGAGGCAAGAAGCAAAGAACAGAGACACCACTTCCTTCAGAATCGACGCAAACGACTTCAACAAGGCAGCCAACGCCCGAGCTGCCGAGGCAAACGCAAAGGATGCTGGCCTAGAATCCAGCTCCTCCACATCCTCCATGAGCCAGTCTGAAGACAGCTCCAGCAGGAAAAAGAAGCACAAGACTGAAGCCAAATGCCCATGGGCGCACAAATCCTTAGCTACCAGGAACGCCGAAAGGGAGGGAACCTGCACGGGAAGCTGCACCTGGCCGACATCACAAGGAACCACAGGGGCGAACAAGCACGCATTGAGGTACTCCAAATTCCCGGGTAAACCTGAACAACCGTAGTCAACTCCTGCCATTCAAGCATGCGGATCCGACAGAACGTATGCCACGCTCCCAACGAAAAGAAAGGATAGTATGTCAGCCAGGAAGACTCCGGCACCTCATAACACACCCAGTAAGGAAAAAGAGGAGCCAAACTCAAAATAAAAAGGATTCATTAAAGAAGAGTAATCTGGATCTCGCAGGAGGTAAGCCCGCACCTTCCTAGGTGCGGGCTTATGTACTACACATAAGGGGCATAACTGGCCGACCCCTCACAGTGTTCAAGAGAGAGCTGGATAAGCACCTTCAAAGGATACCTGATCAACCAGGCTGTGACTCATACGTCAGGCTGCGAGCAGCCGCGTCCAACAGCCTGGTTGATCAGTCGGGCAACCAGGAGGCCTGGTCGACGACCGGGCCGCGGGGACGCTAAGCCCCGGAAGCACCTCAAGGTAACCTCAAGGTAGGTGGGATGCGGGAAGCCGAAAACCTCCGGAAAGAGGGGACCGAGGAACCTAAGGGAATCCGGAACCGAACTCGGGAGGAGTTGAACTCATATCAAACGCGTACAGGGTGGGGGAATACGAAAACCTTCCCCAGTGTAACATCAAACCCCAAACCGAGGGTACCAGCACCCAAGCAGGGTCAAACGGGGGCCCCAAGCACCCTTCCCCCCAAGTCAACTCCTATCCAGCCCTGGGATCCTCCATGTCAGGACCCCGAGGCAGAGCTGAACCTCCAAACCCTCTGCCTCTGGAGAAAGGGCAGAGTCCACCGGAAATTCTGGGAAGAAGGGGGGTCCGCTAGCATAACCCGAAAGCCCCGGCAGGAGGAACAGGCTCGAATGCCTGGACCGCCGATCCTGGGAGGGGGGAACAGGATGAACCACAGCAGGGGAAGGACTAAGGACGCAGACGAAACCAAAGTCAAGGTGACAAACGCCCCCAAGTTCGGGTCCCTATAACCAAAGTGGGGCAGCCTCAGGGCATCTGGAAAGGCAACCAACCTAGAGCAACCAACCTTAGGTTGCGCTGCAGCAACCTAAACCTTGCTATGCCGAAGCTGCCTGCACCCAAATATCAGTAGCAGTAGACTGGGTGAACTGAAGTACAAGCAAGGAACACCACTCGCGGGACCCCAGGTCAAAGATGTCATTGACCAAACAGGCAACATGGTGGAGGCAAAAATGGCAAGTGTCACCCTGAGACAAGGGGACAGCAACCTCCAAACTCGCATAAAGCGAGATGGGACTCAGAGGATGCATCCATCGGACCAATGAGCCCCAATGGGAGTTTCCAGGGCCCTTAGACTGATTGCTAAGGGAAGCCCAGGCAAGGTACTGGGTTAACCAGTAAAAGCCAAACAAACAAAAGCTGAACCCTGCGGAGTAGGGTTCAGCTTTTGTTTGGCCCTAGCGGAGGGCCACCAAAATAATACAAGTGGTCTTATAGCCACACCAGACAGACTCCCTACCAGGCAAAAGAAAAGAAAAGAAACACCCAGCAAAAGCACAACGTCTCCAGGAGGAACAGAACTGGCCGCTATGCATAGTAAGACAGCTGCACAATACCTTGCACCCCAGCCAGCGACGATACTACCTCCTACCCAAGGTCAAACAGGGGTAGGAAAAAAACCCAGCTAACCCCAAGGGTGGGCAATCACCGAGCAGCAAAAGAAGCCTGCGGAGGCAGTCCCTGAATAGTTTGTGGAAGGTAACCCCAAACTGCAAGGGCAGTACTTACAGGGCACCTAGGGAAGATGACCCTAGGGACATGCAGCCCCAGTACTTCTTGAATTACACTTGGCTTGCACACCATCACACTGAAGCACAACACCACAAGGCACAGCACTCCTCAAAGGATGGAGCCAGAGTCGATCAACAGCCTCAGAACTGGGGTAGGGTAGCCGGCACGGAAGGTTTGGGGGACCCCCTTTCCCTGCACAGACAGCGGTGCGGTGGCTGTGGTGACGTCATGCTTGTTTGGTTGTTTTCTGATTGGGGAATTCTGCTTGTTCTTTTGGCTTTTGTTTGCAATCGTTAACCAGCTGTAGTTTGTCTTGGGAGTCCTACCTTTCTGGGTGCCTGACCTGGTAGATGGCAGACATAAGACTGCTTCCAACTACATGGGGTGTCTATAGGCCATTGTTCCTCGTGCCTCTCTGAGGGGGACAGGTTCTGCCTCGTGGTCCCCGGTAGGCTAAGAACTCCATCGATTGACCGTTGCCACGGGATAACACACACACATCAGCCCGGTATAGCTCCAGGGAGCCAGAGGGGCTCTCCACAGAAAAATAATAAAAAGAGACAGAAAGAGAGAGAGAGGGATGTGAGGGGGGGGGCGAGGGATGGGGAAGAGAGGGGATATAGGAAGAAAGAGGAAGAGCAAGACCCCGGACACCCCCGGGTACACCCATATGATACAATACATAATGCTATGTAAAATATTGTAAATATAGTATGTAATTTTCAAAAGAAGGCACTAAGCCTGTAAGACTATGTAGTACTGGTACTGCATATACTGTAAATGAACAAGTACAAATGTATAAGGTTAATGATAAATGAACTTACATTTAATATTAGAGGTTCCATGTTGACTGCTAACATAGTGATAAAGTGGTGGTGGTGATACGGTCCATTGTCAAGTTTTACATAGTTATCATATAAGTGTTGAATGCTTCTATTATGGTTGCATTTCACACCTTCACTCATTTTGAACAACTGTGGATATCTACTAATTATTTGTGAGAAATTATGGCTGGTCTTAATTAAAAGAGTTTTTATAGCTTGTGATACATCACATTGCTCTGTGTCTCTGCTTGCTTTGCATAAATTACTGTCAAATTCCTTTAATTCTGAATCATGAGCCAATTTCTTTAACACAACTGAATTTTCTGCACTTTCTCCATAATACACATTTTTAACATTAAAAAAATTCATAATTTTCCAAGTTGAAAACCCTGTTAATTGTATCTTGGTTGTGGAAGAGTACTCATCGTGCAGCAAGTGGGAACAGAGAGTCTGGCCGTAACAAGCTGGGCACGTATGTAGTGCAACAAATGTCTTGTCAAGTCTCTGGTACCACCCACACAAATACACCAACACCACCACTGCCAGGCCACATAGTAACCAGGTCTTTCTTCTTCTCCTCATGGTTACTGGCATCCACAAAATACCTAGAAAAATACACACACCATTAAATATGAAATTAGTAAGGCAAGATAATTATCATGAGAAAGAGCTAATACAACTACCTGTATATAGCACGGAAGGGATATGAAGACAATACAGTATATTGATGTAAATAGGTGGATGGAGTGAAGGTATGGTGCCCAATCATTTGGATCATCAAGGATCAAATGCAGAATTGTAAGAAATTAGGTAATCTCTGTACCAATCTGTCCAAGTGGATTGTTAATAAAAAGTTAGGTACCAATTTATTTAATTAATTATCACTACTTTATTACTCATCAACTCAAGAATGAAAAAACCAAGCATTGAATGCCAATTTCTGGTTGAGCCCAGGTGACTCCCTGAAGCTGCCATCTACTAGGTGCCCTCAGTTGCTATAACTATACTAGGGTAAATACACTAGAGGAACTACACTTCAGGAATCTGTAAACCAGTTGATTGACAGTTGAGAGGCGGGACCAAAGAGCCAGAGCTCAACCCCCGCAAACACAACTAGACGAGTACTAGAGTACCTACACTAGGGTAACTACACTAGGGGTAAGGGGGGGGGCGGGAGTGTAGGGAGCAGCCTGGCCACCGGGGCTGTGAGGCGCCGCCCCAGCACCACCCACCTGGTGTGAGGGTGAACAGTGTGACACAGCAACAGCAGCAGGTAGTGTGACACAACCATCACCAGGTACTGGGCTCCATGGTGAGTGGTGAGTGTTGAGTGTGAGGCAGGAGAGGGAGGAGTATGACCAGCCGCCGGCCTCACCACCTACTGCGGCTCCTCCTCACTCTCACCAGCAGCAGCAGGTAACCTTCCCTACACTCTTCCACTCTTCTCCTTCTCTTACTCTATCACCTAATATTTGGCGGTTTGACCTGAATTTACCTGAGGGGCCAGCATTACTCCAATGGCCTCGACGAGGACAAGAAGCCTGCAGCTTGTCAATTGTTCATTTGTGCAGATTTAATCGGGATTACAACATTCAGCAGTTTTGTTATTTACGATTTCAGCGGGTAGGCGGTTCCCTGGCCTTATATACATACATTTAAACATTTCATCTAGGTAAACGTACATATACACACATAGCATACAAGCAGACTGATGGGATGATAAGTATAAATAGCCGTGTGGGTGAAGCAGCAGCATGTGGTGTTCTCAGACCAACATTATGGCTGTTGAACCTGACTTTCTGAACACCTTAGTCTCCAACAGCCTCCAAATTGTTCACTATTGTAACAGTTTCATTGAGATCAGCTGTCATGCCTGGTCTACAGTGTTAGGCCTATGGCCCTGTACGGCTGTACCGTGTGTGTACTCACCTAGTTGTGCTTGCGAGGGTTGAGCTTTGGCTCTTTGGTCCCACCTCTCAACTGTCAATCAGCTGGTGTACAGATTCCTGAGCCTACTGGGCTCTATCATATCTACATTTGAAACTGTGTATGGAGTCAGCCTCCACCACATTACTGCTTAATACATTCCATTTACTAACTACTCTGACACTGAAAAATTCTTTCTATGTCTCTGTGGCTCATTTGGGTACTAAGTTTCCACCTGTGTCCCCTTGTTCGTGTTCCATCCATGTTAAATAGTTTGTCTTTGTCCACCCTGTCAATTCCCCTGAGAATTTGTAGATGGTTATCATGTCTCCCTTATGTTTTCCAGGGACTTGTAATTCAGCTCCTTTTAGCCTTTCCTCGTAGCCCATACTTCTCGATTCTGGGACGAGTCCAGTGGCATACTGCTGAATCTTCTCTAACTTTGTCTTGTGTTTAACTAGGTATGGACTCCAGACTGGAGCTGCATATTCCAGGATTGGTCTGACATAAGTGGTATACAGGGTCCTGAACGATTCCTTACATAAGTCTCTAAAGGCAGTTCTTATGTTGGCCAACCTAGCATATGCCACTGATGATATCCTTTTCATGTGGGTCTCTGGGGACAGGTTCGACATGATATCACCTCCCAGATCTTTCTCTCTATTTAACTCTTGCAGGATTTCACCTCCCAAATGGTACCTTGTGTTCAGCCTTCTGCTCCCTTTGCCTAATTTCATTACTTTACACTTTCCTGAGTTGAACTTTAGTAGCCATTATCTAGACCATTCCTCCAGTTTGTCCAGGTCGTCTTGTAGTCTCTGTCTATCTTCATCTGTCTTGATTCTTCTCATAATTCTCTTGATTCATACTGTGGTATTAGTTCTGTACCCCAGTATACTGTGGTGTTAGGTATGGGGTACCACAATTATGTAATTTTGAGATTATATAAGATTGGTATTTTTACATTCTTGCAAAGCATAACACTAATGCGCATTACATTTCGGGCAGATCTTTAATTTAACCTATCAGGTAATATGAAAAGTATAGTATAGCAAAAAATTTTATCAACGTATAACTACAATATAAATTGACAGAGGTGATTACACTGGTGAAGATATGTCTTTAAGTACTAATATTTGGGAAGTAGATAGTACAAGATACAGTGTGAGTTTGAAGCTCAAGGAAGGAAATTACGAGGATGAAATTAGGTACTTTTTGGTTTTACTTTTGAAACTTTTATAATACTGAACAATTTGGAGGATGTTGATCCAGACAATGTCTTCAGAAGGTCAGATGTAACACAAACAAGGAGCAACAGTCTCAAGCTCAACAAGTCACAATGTTGGACTGAGAACAGGAGATGCTTTTTCACCCACAGGGTTATAAAACCATGGAACTGCCTGTTGAAGCTGTAAATGTTAAATTTAAATAAACAAATAAATTAAATACAAATTTTAAGCTCTGTTAAATTTTAAAATTCAACTGGAGAAGATCATCAGGGCAAATGGGAATCATTGACACGCCTCGGGCTTTGTCCTCATCGAGGCCACTAGTATTAGTGGTCCTCGGGTAAATTCAGGTTAATAAATCTGTACAATACTGTACAATACTTATATTAATACAAATTTAATATCACAATAGAGCTACATATGTTTACTGTGTGCTAATGTAAAAAATAATTTACAGACTAATCAGTGGGAAAATGGAAACGAAGGAGACGCTGCGGCTTGGCGCTGTCAGTGGTGCCAGCGGGCTAAGTAATCATCTAGTATATGCTCCCCCTTCAGCCTCAACAACTTCCACATCTGTACTAATGTTCTTTGGAGGTGATGTGCAGGTACAATACTAAGTTTTGTATATTTCAGATATAAAATGTTTATTATAAGATTGTACATTCCTAATTAGAGATACCATATGGTTTTGTCATTTCTCTTTTTCTTATCTTTCATGTTTTTCTTTTAAAGGGATGTATATAATATATTTTGGGGAACAGGAAAACTGTTAGGCTTATCGATCTAGGTTCCCCTTGGCCAGTGATCGACTTTTCCTAGGATGCAACAGTTGACTATCTCACAGGTACTTATTTAATGTACTTATCTCACTGATACAGAGGTTTAAGACAGCCATAGAATTAGTTAGGAGCAAGGGAGGAATCCTAGTAATATGTGGCATTCTTCCAAGAAAAGGAGTTGGAAATGAATGGTTGTCGAGGGCACTTTGTGTCACTTGCCGACTGGACAAATATTGTAAATCAAATGCAATATCCATCATTGATAACACTTTTATAGAAGGAATGACATGTATGCTTGGGATGGGGTGCATGTATCCAGGGCTGGGGGGTGTTGCTGTTGCCAAGTCATTGGGACCTGTGGTTGAAGGGGGTTTGAGTTTAAACTGTTAATAGATAGTGGTATGGGAATTGATATGGAGAAAGGAGGCAATAAAAGTATGTGTTGGTGGAGGAAAAAATGGCAAAATGAACAGGGGAGAAGGGCCTCAAAATAACAGTACACTTAAGGTATATTACACAAACAGTAGGAGTCTAAGAAACAAAATAAACGATATAAATGCTTTTGTTTGCACAAAAACAATAGATATTATTGTGTATATCTATAACAATGGATATTATTGTGTATATCCATGCTTGTGTCTTTTGATCTCTGGTCCTCGTGCAATTTCTGTTGAACCAACCCTGTTTCCTATGTCTGCATCTCTGTTTTGGTATGAATGTTTGTATGCCTTCATTGTATATTTTGCAAAATATGGCATACATCTCATTTACTTCCTTGCCTAGCAACAAATCTGTCTAATTATACCCATGAAAAAATTTCTAAGTTACCCATAGCATCCTCTCTTGAAATCAAGTTTAACAACTGTTTCAGTGTCCCCATTCTCTACTAGATTATATCACAAAGTGTATTTAATGTCCAAGAGGACATGATCACTCTTTCCCAAGGGAGGAAGGTACTGGATGTCAAATACCTCTTCTTTCCTAGTGAATATTAGCTCCAGTATTGACAGAACATCCCTTCCCTCATTCTTGTGGCCTGCTTGACGTGTTGATACATGAATGTCTCCAAAATGAGGTTTACAAATCTGCCTGTCCAAATGTTCTGTGTTCTTGCCTCGTAGGCCTTCGTAGTAAATTATAGTACTATTCACTTTATAATTGGTACTGTTCACTTCATAGAGTTTGAAAAAATTGAGCTAAAAACCAAATTTAAATATTAGTAGCCATATAGCATTAATACTGTGTGTATAATATTAAGCCTCAGATAGCATGAAAGGTTAAGTTTTCTTTACAACATCAGTACAAAAACTTTAACAGTTTATCCAAATCCAATGGTACCAATTTCTACTTCCTAATTGAATTTTACATCAGTATATGTACGATGGTCCTCATCGTTACTATAAGTACTGCCTAAACAGGAGGATGGGCTGTAATAGGAAATATTCCAGAGATACCTACCTGCTGTCCAGCTGGAACTTTAGGCCTTTCCTAGGGTGCCTCTTTGGCATGAAGGCTGGTCTAAAGTGCCATTTGGACAGCAGATAGGTGTCCATGGAATCATTCCTATTAAGGGGTGCTGGTAGCCCAGTTGGTAGAACTGCGGGCTGCTGCTTTCATGGTCTGCACTTAGAGGGCCCCTATAGTCCAAGTGAATAAAATGTTTTTTTCCACAATATGGTAATCAGCAATTTATGACTATGTAGGATGTAGATCACCTAACACCTTCATAGTAAAGTGGCACCCCAGGGAAGGCCTCAAGTTCCAGTTGGACAGCAGATGGGTGTCTCTGGAATCTTTCCTATTAAGGAGTGCTGGTGGCTCTGTTGGTACAGTTGAGGCCTGCTGCTTTTTGTGGTCTGTGGTTCAAGGCTTTGATGGTCCAAGTAAATGAAATGTTGTTAATCATGATATGGCGGTTAGCAATTTATATGATTATATGGTCCTCGGGTAAAAGCAGTTAAATTTGCTGTCTCCAACTAACTAAATTTACATACAGTTAATATTGTAAAATTAATATGCAGATTCTATTATGCATCATTTAACAGAGACTTTTCAGTCAACCCGAAAAACAATTTCTCATTTCTAAAATAAAGGGATAATTAGGTTAGGTTAGTATTGTGTGGTTATGTAAGGATGTACTGTATTATGTACATACAGTATCTAGAAAATGCAAACCAGAATCTGAAATCTAATTTCATTTAAGTCATTGCCACAACAAAAATTTATTAAAATTAAAATGAGAAATTTGTGGAATAAATTTTTTAATTGAGAATAATAAATCTGGGATGATTATGGTAAAGAAAATTCTAAAAATAGTAATACTCCAAACCTTACACATGGCAGGACTATCCTGAGATCATGCTTGCACATCGTGATAACAAGCACTATGTGGAGTGGTCGTTGACTAACACTGCACGATTACTTGCAACAAAGTTCCCAGCTCATCATGTTTTTGTTGTTAAGCCTAACAGGTAAGTTTAAATTAAATTGGTTTGGTAGATTATATGAAGAAGGCATATCTACAGTAGGATACTCTTTGTTTCATCTATTAATAGACACCGCATAACTGCACAATAAAAAACACAATAGCGTCATAAATCTATGAATAAATATTGAAGCTGTATAATGGAATCTGTGTTCTTGATCACTCCCTCCTCGTCGACACCCAAGTGTGGGCAAATTTCTTTTAAAACCTGGATTGTGGTGCCAGATGGTGCCTTCCAAACATGATGTTAGTCGAGTAGTATTTCTGGTCGAGACACTTTTAGCTCGTCATAGTTCAATGGGTAATGCATGTGCCCGAGGTGATCAGGGTGTGGGTTGGATTCTGTCGTACAGCCCTAATATTTATAAACATTATACATCTAGGCTTTCCCCTCTGAGGGAATGGCTATAACAGGTATGCCTCCAGGTGGCCATATTATATTGTAGTACTACAGTATATACAATACTCAATCACTGTTATGTAAACTAAACTAAACCAATGAACATAAAAACCAATAGTGCCTTAGGACAGCCATCGAGCATATTTAAAATCAAAGTTATGTACAGTATGTCATTTTGAGTTTAATACAGATAAATATGGAGATACATTGCAAAACTTTTTTGCTATGCACCATTTTGGCTGTGATTTGAATTTGAGAGATAATAGTGTAGTTAAAGTAGTCTTTTGATGCTCATCCATGTCTGGATTAAGATTTGTCTTTATGCCTGACCCAGTAAAGATGGCCACATGAAAAGATTCCCATTTTGTCAATGTGAATGTGTCACTCCTCAGCTTGGAATTTGGTTGTGGCTATATTCTGGAGAGATGAACACTTACCTAATGTAGTGATTGAATGACTTGCTCAGAATTTTTTTTTTTTTTTTCCATCTACAATACCTATATACTGTACAATATATGTGTTTGTTTCAGAATGGAAAGAAAAACTTTCAGCTGCTTTGATAATTTTGTGATGAGCAATAGTGTGGGTGCACCAACTCATGAGCCTGGTACTGCAGCTACACGTCATCTTGCTTCCCTCATGTCAGCGGGTCTTAGAACGGCACAAGCTAAAATGAACTTCCACTCACAGGAAAATGATATCGGTATTGCACCACACAGTGAAGATGACGACCTGCAGCAGTGCAAAAGCTTTCAACATAGCTCTAAATCTCAGACATGTGATGAAGTCAGCATTGAAATACATGATGTAACACTTATTGGTTTCAGTAAAGGATGTGTTGTATTGAATCAGCTAATAACCGAGTTCCATTCAATGGACGTTATAGAGAGTTCACACGATGAACTTCATAAAGACTTTATAAGTAAGGTAAGAAATGTATTTCTTTATTCCATCTTATTATAATAGTCTCATTCAGTAGATTAGAATAGTTCCATGAACTAACAAATCTTGTATATTAATCCTTAAAATATCATTACAGTACTAATGTTGTTTCCCCCACTTACATTTTTATCTATTTTGTGTTGGCATATTAAACTGGGTTAGACCTATCACTTTTTTTATACAAGTAATTTAAGAATAAGTATTATTTATATATTAGAATGCTTACATTTAGTGTGTTCAGGAGGAAGTATCTTCATGCAGAACACACAAGTTGCAACTCTTTAAAAAAACATAACAGTTACTGTCACAACAGCAACAAAAATGACAGGTTGGATTAAAAGAACCTTCCAAACAAGAGATGCCATGCCAATGATACTTTTTTTAGACATTAATCTCTAGATAGTATTGTTGCACACTAACAGGCCCCATTCAAACCTGACCTGAAGAGCATGCAAAGATCCTTTACCACTAGAATCCACTCGATAAAACATCTAAATTATTGGGACTGTCTAAAACTGTTAATTCCGACATCAAAGGCCCAAGACTTTTCAACACTCTTCCCCTTCACATATGGAGCATAACTGGCCGACAGCAGTGTTCAGAAGAGAACTCGACAAGCCCCTTCAAAGGATACTTGATCAACCAGGCTGTAACTCATTTGTCAGGTTGTGAGTAGTTGCATCAAACAGCCTGGTGGATCTGACCAGCAACCAGGAAGCCTGGTTAGAGACAGGGCTGTGGAAATATTGATCCCTGGAATCTTCAGCAGGTAGGTAGGTGCCTTCCTCCACTTTCTGTCCCTTTGTTATTCTTCCTCGGTTTTTCATCGGGTTGTTCTGTCCTTTCTTGGCTTTTCCTTGGTCTGCATCTTATGCTGAATACTGTCGCCTCTTATTATGCGGCATTGGCAGAGCCACTCTAGTTTGTATTTGGGGTTGATACCTATTCGGCCCCATTTTGCAAGCTTTCTCATGCATTGTTTACCTCTGGCCTGCTCATGCGCCACCTGAGCCTACTTGGTCCCTTGACCGGGTTCTTTCTTTTCTTTCGTCCGCTCAGTTTACAGTTGCCCCTTCAGTCTGGAATTGTTTTCAGACAGTGTTGTATTTTCTCTCTGGTTTCTTCTTGTTGGATGGAGGAGCTTCATGATCTCCTTTAGCGCCGAGGGTTATCTTGAGATTCTTGTTATCTTGAGATGATTTCGGGGCTTTTTTTTTAGTGTCCCCGCGGCCCGGTCCTTGACCAGGCCTCCACCCCCAGGAAGCAGCCCGTGACAGCTGACTAACACCCAGGTACCTACTTTACTGCTAGGTAACAGGGGCATAGGGTGAAAGAAACTCTGCCCATTGTTTCTCGCCGGTGTCCGGGAACGAACCCGGGACCACAGGATCACAAGTCCAGCGTGCTGTCCGCTCGGCCGACCGGCTCCCTACGTCCGAACTTACGAACGGCTTAGGACGTCTGAACACGTCCGGAACAATTGCCTCGCTGACGACCTTCGTTGGAATCACAACGCTGCAAATACTTCACCCACGCACCACAAATAGAAATAATCGCCAACGGAACCTAAAACCTAACCCAACCAATGCCCAAATATGCACAGTAATCTAATATATAACAATATTAATTTATATTTGAGAAAATTCCTATTTTTAATGAACAGCATGTTAAAATTCACGAACGCGTCTCTGGGGTCGACCGCTGGATGGAATGGACTTGGTCTGAGGACGGGCTGTCCAGGAAGTTTTACTCCCCAAGCTCAGGCTGGGGCCAGGCTGGTCTTGAGAGCGCGTGGTCCAACAGGCTGTTGAACAAATCCACAAGGGCCGTGACGAGGATGCGAACCTACGTCCGAGATCGTCCCCAGACGCTGCCTTAATCGACTGAGCTACGACATGGTCAAAAGAGTTGAAACCAAAGTTCTACAAACTTGCTTGGGACATGTTTTAGTCAGCCCATCCACGTGTTTACTAAAGCGCTTCTCGTGCGTTGTTGCGTGGATTATTAATGACAAAGTTGTCTCTAAATTACTGGATTTGTTCACATTGAATCACACAATGTGATGGAGCCTCTATGTGGTGGAGGCTGACTCCATACACAGTTTCAAGTGTAGATATGATAAGAGCTCGATAGGGTCAGGAACCTGTACACCTGTTGATTGATGGTTGAGAGGCGGGACCAAAGAGCCAGAGTTCAACCCCCGCAAGCACAATTAGGTGAGGACAATGTTATACAACATAACACAGCCTTGTTATGCCTTATAACATTGTGTCCACCTTCCTGTACACTCTCATCATGGTTGTCGCGTTTTGCTCTACTCTTCTCGCTAATATTTACATTTATTTCAACAAAGTTTGAAAACTGAGAAGTTATCTAATATTATATGAAGTAAAATCCACAAGTTCTATTTGACTAGGCATTTTATATACATGAAGATCTCAATAATAGTTGATGAACCTTCCTCCCAGGTGGTGGTGCTTCATTTTTTGGGCGCTAACTGCTAAAGGTTCGTGCCAATAACACGGTAAGCGAGACGGTATTGAAAGAGAAGCAATTTCTGCTTACAATTTGTAATTGCTGTTGGTTAAGGATGCAGCAATACAGGGTTGCCAGATTGGGCTATAAGTAGCGAATTGGGCTACTTTTGAGAGCCCCACGCTCCCAAATTTTTAATTTCGCTTAAATTTTTAAATTTAATTAAATGAATTTATTTATTAAATAATTTAAATTTAAATTATTAAATAATTAAATTAAAATTTTTAATTTAATATATGCAGAGATAATATTAATAAAACAATTAAAATCGTTTATTGTACTTTATATATCATATTAGATTACTTTGAAACCCGTATCGGTCACTAAACAAAAAATTGGGGTACTCTTATTACAAATTCGCTATTTTTAGACCGTCAGCTCGCTACTTTTAGCAATTTGAATTTGGCAACCCTGAGTCAGAATTCGGATCAAAAATCACGCTCGGGAGTCAAATTTCCAACATTTCAGATATTCTGAAAACTGCAGGGGGGTTTGGGCAAAATATGACCCATCGCCATTTTCAGTAATTGGCATATTTTCGGTGTAAAAAGTCGTAATTTGAAAATGAAAATAGGTGCAGAGAGTCAGAATTCGGCTCAAAAATCACACCCAGGAGTCAAATTTCCGACATTTCAGATATTTTGAAAACTGCAGGGGGGTTTGGGCAAAATATGACCCATCGCTGTTTTCAGTAATTGACATTTTAGGTGTAAAAAGTCGTAATATGAAAATGAAAATAGGTGCAGAGAGTCAGAATTCGGCTCAAAAATCACGCTCAGGAGTCAAATTTCGGACATTTCAGATATTTTGAAAACTGCAGGGGGGTTTGGGCAAAATATGCCCGATCGCCGTTTTCAGTTATTTGCATATTTTCGGTATAAAAAGTCGTAATTTGAAAATGAAAATAGGTGCAGAGTCAGAATTCTGCTCAAAAATCACGCTCAGGGGTCAAATTTCGGACATTTCAGATATTTTGAAAACTGCAGGGGGGTTTGGGCAAAATATGACCCATCGCCGTTTTCAGTAATTGGCATATTTTCGGTATAAAAAGTTGTAATTTGAAAATGAAAAGAGGTGCAGAGAGTCAGAATTCGGCTCAAAAATCAAACCCAGGAGTCAAATTTCCGACATTTCAGATATTTTGAAAACTGCAGGGGGGTTTGGGCAAAATATGAACCATCGCCGTTTTCAGTAATTGGCATATTTTCGGTATAAAAAGTAGTAATTTGAAAATGAAAATAGGTGCAGAGAGTCAGAATTCGGCTCAAAAATCACGCTCAGGGGTCAAATTTCCGACATTTCAGATATTTTGAAAACTGCAGGGGGGGGGGGGGGCGTTTGGGCATAATATGACCCTTCGCCGTTTTCAGTAATTGGCATATTTTCGGTATAAAAAGTCGTAATTTGAAAATGAAAATAGGCGCAGAGAGTCAGAATTCTGCTCAAAAATCAAACACAGGAGTCAAATTTCCGACATTTCTGATATTTTGAAAACTGCAGGGGGGTTTGGGCAAAATATGAACCATCGCCGTTTTCAGTAATTGGCATATTTTCGGTATAAAAAGTTGTAATTTGAAAATGAAAATAGGTGCAGAGAGTCAGAATTCTGCTCAAAAATCAAACCCAGGAGTCAAATTTCCGAGATTTCAGATATTTTGAAAACTGCAGGGGGGTTTGGGCAAAATATGACCCATCGCAGTTTTCAGTAATTGTTTTGTTGTTTTGTCCCTGAGGGGTACCTTACCTTGAGGTTACCTTGAGGTGCTTCCGGAGCTTAGCGTCTCCGCGGCCTGGTCATCGCCTAGGCCTCCTCGTTGCTGGACTGATCAACCAGGCTGTTGGACGTGGCTGCTCACAGCCTGATGTATGAGGCACAGCCTGGTTGATCAGGTATCCTTTGGAGGTGTTTGTCAAGTTCTCTCTTGAACACTGTGAGGGGTTGGCCAGTTATGCCCCTCATGTGTAGTGGAAGCGTGTTGAACAGTCTCGGGCCTCTGATGTTGATAGAGTTCTCTCTCAGAGTACCTGTTGCACCTCAGCTTTTCAACGGGGGTATTCTGCACATCCTGCCATGTCTTCTGGTCTCATGTGATGTTATTTCTGTGTGCAGGTTTGGTACCAGCCCCTCAATTATGTTCCATGTATAGATTATTATGTATCTCTACCGCCTGCACTCAAGGGAATACAGATTTAGGCTTTTTAGTCGGTCCCAGTAGTTTAGATGTTTTACTGAGTGGATTCTAGCAGTAAAGGATCTCTGCATGCTCTCCAGGTCAGCAATTTCTCCAGCTTTGAAAGGGGCTGTCATTGTGCAGCAGTACTCCACTCTAGAGAGCACAAGCGTTTTAAAAAGTATTATCATCGGTACAGCATCTCTAGTGTGAAAAGTTCTTGTTATCCAACCTGTCATTTTTCTTGCAGTTGTGACGGCTACTTTATTGTGTTCTTTAAAGGTAAGGTCTTCCGACATGAGTACACCCAGATTCTTTACATTGCCTTTTCGTTCTATGTTATGATTTACCTGATTTTTGTACGTGGTTTCCGTTTTTATATTTTCATTTTTTCCATAGCGCATAAGCTGGAACTTATCTTCGTTAAACACCATATTATTTTCTGTAGCCCATAGAAAGACCTGATCTACATCTTATTGAAAGTTTGCCGTGTCCTCTATGTTGCCTACTCTCATGAAGATCCTAGTGGCATCTGCAAAGGGTGATACAGTGCTATAGGTTGTGTTCTTGTCTGTGTCTGATATGAGGATGAGAAAAAGTACTGGAGCAAGCACAGTACCCTGGGGGACTGAGCTCTTCATGGTTGATGGGCTGGATTTTATTTTGTTGACAATTACACATTGGGTTCTGTTAGTCAGGAAATTGTAGATCCATCTGCTTATTTTTCCGGTAATTCCTTTTGAACACATTTTATGTGCAAGAACACCATGGTCACATTTATCAAAGGCTTTTGCAAAATCTGTGTAAATTACATCAGCATTTTGTTTGTCTTCCATAGCATCTAATGCCATATCATAGTGGTCCAGCAACTGTGACAGGCAAGAGCGCCCTGTTCTGAAACCATGTTGTCCGGGGTTATGGAGATGCTCTGATTCCATGTATTTTGTGATCTTACTTCTTAGCACTCTCTCAAAATTTTTTATGATGTGCGATGTTAGTGGTATCGGTCTGTAATTTTTTGCCTCTGCCTTAGCACCACTCCATAAAGGAGGAAATATATCTGCTGTTTTTAGTATGTCAGGGATAACGCCAGTATCTAGGCTTTGTCTCCGCAGAATGTGAAGGGCCTGCGATAGTGTTTTTTTACAGTTTTTGATGAATATGGAGTTCCAAGAATCCGGGCCTAGTGCAGAGTGCATAGACATACTGTTTATGGCTTCTTAAAATCCAGTGGGAATAGGGTGACATCTGATATATGACTTGATGTTGGTATCATATCCATGAAAAATTCATTTGGGTTATCAATCTTTAGTGCATTTAGTGGCTCGCTAAAAACAGAGTCAACTGCTTCCTCAGTAGCTCGCTCATTTCTTTGTTGTCATCGGTGAAAGTGCCATCTCCCTTTCGCAGGAGCCCGATACTAGATGTGGTTTTTTATCTTGATTTTGCATAGAAGAAAAAATATTTCGGATGTGTCTCTATTTCACTGATGGCCTTTTGCTCTCTTTGCCTCTCCTGGGTTTTGTATGATTCTTGTATCTTGAGTTCAATTGTTTCTATTTCTCTCCCTAACCTTCTTTGCCGTTCTTGAGATATGAGATATCCTGTACTGCAGGATATGAGATTCTCCTCATATCCTGCAGTACAGGTAAATGTGTAGCAACCAAGAAGTATAACTCAGAAATAAGGCTTAGTACACAATTCACCTTAAAAAGTTCAGACCTCCATATAATGAATCTCCCTAAACAAATCATTTGTTTCATATTTTTGTTAATCTTGCTCTTTTAATTGTAAATATAATTACAAATAATGTAATATATAATTTCAACTGTTTTACTAAGCTTGTACTGTACTATAAATTATACAAAAAAAAAGCCCACTGTTTAAAATCATCAATCCTTGAGCAAATTAAATATAGTAAATTACTGTTGATGCGACAGAATTGGGGAATGTGTCATTATACAGGTCTGATAATAACTACTCACAGATATTTTTCTTTTCCAGGTGCACAATATGTATTGGTTAGATGGAGGTCATGCAGGTGGCAGCAAGACCTGGATTACCACACCCACCATCCTCAAGTTTCTTGCTAGTTTGAAACACATAAATATCCACATACATGTTACTCCCTATCAGGTAGGGCTGCCATTATTATTTGTACAGTATTATTTCATTTTATACTTTTTTATTGAAAAATTATTAACACTTAACGTTCCAAGCTGTAAACGTTCTGGGCATCTCTAACTCAAAAACTAACTATAAATTTGGTGTCAAATGTTCGCAGATGAATTTGTTAAAGTACAGATGCCATACAAAATGTATTTTTATAATAGTTTATGCATGATGGTGCTGAATATAACATTTTCTAGTAACATTCTTCATATACAGGCCCCTGTATTTTTCAATATTCCTCATCTATTTTTATTAGTTTTAAAATGTGCACACATTAGTCTGTATGAGTGAAAAGAAGACATAAGTTTCATACTTTTATGACAGGTAATCTGCCAAAAAGTGATATTACCCCATTTCATGTGGTAAGTAGTTGACCAATGTTATCTCTGGATGGTCCCCGATAAGTTGTGCTCCTAAAAAGGGATTTTTGCTTATTTTGAGACGAATAAAGTATTTTTACCATCATCAGAATGTTTACTATCAGAGTACAGAGGAAACTGTAGCATCATCAGAATGCTAAAGTGTTAAATTAATGTTGGTAGGGCATTTTTGCATTATCAGAGAAGAGAATATACACATACAACATTATGAGGCTTCTATATGCACTTGCATATTGTCTTATCTTACCCTCCCTCTTATTTTTTTAACGATTACACAGGATTGATTGACAATGGTTACATAGATACAAAGGTCATTTACAGCCTATGACGAGTTCCTCAATCTAGAAAAACTGGAAGCAAGAATGCAATCCTCTGTATTGTAAGATGTGCTGGAAAAAAGGTAGCTGGCAGCTCTTGGATATTTTGTTTAGAAACGTCTATAATCCAAACTGTTGATAAAACTCTGCACTTTGACTCCAGACAGTCTCTGAAACAGCGGGTACAAAATTGTACTGGCAATCCAAATCTCCGTACTTTCAGTATACACACACACACAGTACTTGGCTGATTTCCAATGGGTGGCCCTGCCACCTGGATGCCAAATACTATAGTCAGCATTGGTGTTAGCCAAGGTTAATGTGTATGAGTAGTTCAATACCAACAGCCTACCATTCTTCCAATAGTGCACTGCAATCCCATTTAAGGGACCAGCAAGATTAGCAGTGTTGCAGGACATTATGAAAAAGAGGCTGTCTGCTGGAAACCTGGTTGTATAAGGCTCCTCTTAATGATTTCATTGACTTCACCATGCCTTGTATGCTTTGGGAGAGCATGCCATGCTGACTGTACCTGTCAACTGCTGCCTTGCCACAAAACACCTGGATTGGAGCAGCAAGGCAGAGATACTGCAATACAAAAGGATGCAGCTTGAGATGAATGCCTGTTGCTGACATGGCCATTAATAGGAAATTATCTGCACGGAGAGCTGCCACCACTGTGAAGAGAGAGATCTTGTATTGTGTTGATGCAGCATCGACACACTGCAACTGTTCTGGCCCAGCTGGATTGCTTGCAAATTTAAATGAGGCTGTTTATAGTACTGGGACTGCAAGAGTAACACTTTGCAGGAGTACACAATTTCAGTTTTATACACTCTAAAGTTGTCTAGGTAATTCATTAGAATTTGATTCCCAGATTGTTAGACACTGAGAAGAAGAAGACAGCTAGTTCTCCTGTTTAGATAGTACTTATAGTGACGATGTGGGCAATCGTACACATGGGTTATATGTACATTTTATGTATTATAAAAACATGTAATTATATATATATACTGTACTGTATGTATATATGCATACATATGTAATGGAATTTGGCGCTATTGAATTTGGACATAATGGAAAAGGTTTTGCATTTGTTGCTAATAAAGCCTAACCTAACCATCCTATGCCTGATACACTGAGTCCTATTAATACTACAAATGTGTGCTATACTAGTAGTATTTAAGTTTAGTTTTAGTTTTTCTGAACTCTAGAGAGAGAATTCTGTAGTGCCAAATTCTGCTATTTAATTGTCCATTACATCAATATATGTATGATGATCCACTGAGTTACAAAAAGTCCTATCTAAACAAGAGGACGGGTTGGACTAAAAGGCTGATGGAGCAATCTGGGCCTTGACCAGTCTAAATATAAAGTTTGTTTTGCTCTACAGGTACGAGATGAACAACGGCCTTGGATCAGAAAGGAATGCAAGGCATTTTATGATATTTTGCGTCGAGCTGGAGCCAAAGTTTACTACACTCTACATTTTAAAGATGAGCCTGCTTCTCTAATGTTGCACTTTAGAGTTCTCGAAGAGTTTAACAGAAACTAAAAATATCTTATCAGTACTGTAATTACATTTTGTATACAGATCATAAACTTTAATTGCAGAATAGTTAGGATTCAGTCATGTAGTTAATTTGATTTTTTTTTTAGTAGTAATGCAGTGTAATTGATACACTTGTAATTGGCAATTAGATTTCATTGTATACAGTACTCGTATAACCCGTAGATTGTAGTACCAGCAAATAGTAATCTACTGTATTTGAAGTTTAAGAGTTCCCACCGTAAATTTGGATCAAAACCCAAATAAAATATTAATTATGTTTTGTATTATCACTCCTGATATGCAACTATTTTCTATAATGAAAAAAGTACTGAGACTGGTAACTTAATTACTTTTAAGGGGACCAAGTCGCATTCATTCTGATGGGTAACATTTATAAATGTCCAATTTTCATGAAACTTCATTTACAAGGTCTAACCTGTAAGATAACCCTCTAGCTCAAGTTTCAGCTTTGTAACTCAAAAGGAGATGTAAAGGAAAAAATGACAGCATTTAAAAAATTCCAAGACTATAGAATTTCTAGCCAATTTTTTAAATCTTCAATATAACTAATACAATAGTAATATTCTGAAGGATGGTATTATGTAATAATGTTTACTTGCTGAAAAAAATGTAATAATTTATCATTTTGCTAAAAACTGCACTTTAAAATTGATAAAATATTTCAAATCCATACACGAACATAATACATTATATGAAATTTATGAAAATTGGTTCATAAATAACAAAACAATTTTTAAAGATGTACAATTGTACTTTTGAGTAAAATAACATCAATGAGTGTACCACCAGTAGATGGGATAGATGGTGCTCGATTGTCTTCATCTCGTTGGATTTTTGGTGGTGTTGCATCCATAAATGCTAGCAAGTTTCTGGAATATCGTATGCCAAACAATGGAGAAAAAAAATTACATACCACTGTTTATATCTGTTTAAAAATTGCGACCTTTGTCCTCACAGGAGCAAAAGAAATCCCCCACAAAGAAAGAAACGAGAAACACTTCTTCCAACTTCTGAGACAAACCCATAGCAATGAATTTGCCACAATTATTACAGTTGCACTTAAGGTGTGGCTGTATACATAATGCAATATTTAAGGGATTGATTCAACAAATCCGTATCATTTACAAATTTATTAAAAATCCTAAATATTCTCATAATAGCACAACTATATTACATGACTGGCTGCTTGCTGCACTTTATATAGAATCGTGCATATAGTGAATATCACCATCTTTCTTATCATACTGGGCCAGTAAACAAGTTTTTAATGTATTGTATCCACACTTGCAATTCACAAGGATGTCTCAAAAATGAACATATATGAGTGAAGTACAGTAGTTGTCAATGGCTAACACTTTTCACACATTTTCTGAAATTTAAAAATACATTTGCATAAAAGTGTAGAAAAAAAATGATTCCTTAAACAGTTTCTATAGTAGTTAATCTTGGGACATTCTTACACTTGTATAAATATACAAAATTATAAAATCTGGCACAACAATTAATTATAAAGCACTTTTTTTTTCTCGAGCATTTATTGTGGGTGTGAGTGTATTTATCGAGTTATCGTCCACATTTGTTAAAAGTGCACATTTTTAATAAGCAGTCTAATTAAAGTTAATGATTTAGTTAACAAGGACATTACCTAATGAATGCATCATCTTTTTAAGACTAATGATTGTTGGGTTACTGACCAAAAATATTATACAATATTTACACATGTATAATACACACACATTGGGTGTTATATAAGTATATGTGTACGTGTGTGTCATATGTGTGTATGTGTAATATATATGTGTGTGTGTGTATGTGTAATATATATGTGTGTGTGTATGTGTAATATATATGTGTGTGTGTGTGTGTATGTAATATATATGTGTGCGTGTGTATGTGTAATATATATGTACTCGCTTAATTGTGCTTGCGGGGATTGAGCTCTGGCTCTTTGGTCCCGCCTCTCAACTCTCAATCAACTGATGTACAGATTCCTAAGCCTACTGGGCTCTATCATATCTACATTTGAAACTTGTGTATGGAGTCAGCCTCTACCACATCACTTCCTAATGCATTCCATTTGTCAACCACTCTGACACTAAAAAAGTTCTTTCTAATATCTCTATGGCTCATTTGGGCACTCAGTTTCCACCTGTGTCCCTTGTGTCAAATAGCCTGTCTTTATCTACCCTATCAATTCCCTCAAGAATCTTGAATGTGGTGATCATGTTCCCCCCAACTCTTCTGTCTTCCAGCAAAGTGAGATTTAATTCCTGTAGTCTCTCCTCGTAGCTCATACCTCTCAGCTCGGGTACTAGCCTGGTGGCCAACCTTTGAACCTTTTCCAGTTTAGTCTTATCCTTGACTAGATATGGACTCCAAGCTGGGGCTGCATACTCCAGGATTGGCCTTATACATGTGGTATACAAAGTTCTGAATGATTCCTTACACAAGATTCTGAATGCCGTTCTTATGTTGGCCAGCCTGGCATATGCCGCCGATGTTATCCTCTTGATATGGGCTGCAGGAGACAGGTCTGGCGTGATATCCACCCCCACGCCAGACCTGTCTCCTGCAGCCCATATCAAGAGGATAACATCAGCGGCATATGTCAGGCTGGCCAACATAAGAACTGCATTCAGAAACTTGTGTAAGGAATCATTCAGAACTTTGTATACCACATATGTCAGGCCAATCCTGGAGTATGTATACATGTGTATATATATGTGTATATATATATATATATATGTGTGTGTGTACTACAAATACTGCAAATATTTAATACTTTTGAAAGATGTTAAAAACCTTGCAAATGCAAGAATGTCTTTATTTCAACTTCTTAAAAATGTGAAAGGAAATGAAGCACATATATTGGCACAAGAGTAAATAACATTTATGTATTTAGGCCATACAGTATAATTTAATTGGATTTCCAATGATGTAAACCTACCTATTGCTCATGGTAAAGCACACCCCAGTTACCTAACTCGGTTTTAATTATACTTTTAACAATTTCTAAAAGATATTATTTATGACTGATAATAAAAAATATCTGGTTCTAAAAAAGCCAAAAAAAAAATTAAATTAAGCTGCCTTAAATAATTATATTCTTTATCAATTGTACTACTTAATAAAATAAAACTTGGAATGTACCTACTATTTTTTTTCATGGGTAAAATAAACAGTTTTGAGTATTACCAGTTTGTGAAGTACAGTATATAATGTTATTGAAACATCCAAACTTTATAAAGTACACCTTCTGCAGCTCCAGTGCACACCTAACATGATGATGTGGTGAACATTATCTACAATAATGGGTGGCATGAACTTTCACACAGCACACTTGAGTCTCTTAAAACTGCATCAAATAGCAAGACACTCTTAACAAGAATGATTCATTCAACAACTTGGCAACGCAACACACTTTCACAAACCAATTCTTTAAATGCTAAATTACTGTGACTGATACACTGATATGAGGCACCAGACAGCAAGGATCAAATTGAGATTCACGTTCACGTAGGCATCAATGTCCTGGCTTGAGGTTAAGGCCCGACTTTGGCCAGCACTCGACAAATGTTACTTATGGCAGTTTTCAATATGTATCTTGACTGAAATTTTTGTATACCAAAATATTGGAAATGTGTGTATTAATGTGAAAAATATATGTATATTATTGTATATGCATGTATTAATACATTTATATATTGATTTATATATTGATGTACAGTGTGTGTATGTATTAATTTTGTATACAGTACAGTATTTAAAAACTATCATGTAATTATTGCATTTGTATATATTGAAGTAGGTACTTTATATGTAAGTATTAATGCATCTTGCATATAGAGAAGTGCTGTACATGGATGTATTAATGAGAGTTGCAATGAGATTTTTCCAACTTCTTGTTGACACGGAGTGTATGAGAGTAGGGGATTTGGGCCCGGGTTGCGGGGGCATGCACTTATCTAACTACAGCCCTATCATAAATACAATAGCATTTTTAATGTGTTTTCATTCATACATAATCTCATATTACTCAGAGAAAACTCTAATGATCTCTTTCTTTACCTTGGCAGTAAAAATATTGTGTGATCCCCTTTGATATGTTGTCATGAAGGTGTATAAAATAAGTAGTACAAGAAAACCCAACTAAATGGGTGGTACTACTGATCATCACAATGTACACTTCTCTTACAAGTAATGAACTACAAAAATCTCACTAACGTCAATAAATAAATCATGGATCACAAATTGGATTAAGACCACTTGTAAACAATTCAACAATTTAGACCTAACAAGAATCGGTGCATCTGATATAGGCCTACAAAGTGTCATTTCCTCTGGAAGTTGGAACTGTATTGCTATCACAGTTTTTTGACACTGAACACCAAGTGTGGCTCAGTTGTAAACACTAGTGAATCTTGATTGGAATTCATCATTACCACTTGTGAGGTGGAAGACACCCCGAGAACTGCTCTTAACAGATCACTTAAAGAGATAAATTAACAAGTGCACAGGCAGGAAGGCAGGCTATCATATGCTTCCTCTCCATACATAAAATATGCATAAATTACTTGTTTTTAAAACTTCTATTTGTCATTTATTTACATTCCACATTTAGTTTTTGTGAAGACTTCAAATTTTAAAAAATAATAGCACGCATTAAATGTTTATACATCATAAAAGATAAATAAAATTCATATTTATTAAAATTAACTTCAAATTATCTTAAAACAAATTGCACGTTGATAGTTAAAAAAATGACTAACACCATTTTACTTTAAATTTAAAAAAAGGGATACTAATGACTAAATATTTCACTAAATATTTCAATATTATCATTAGTAGGATTACTCAAGTCATTGTCTTCATATGTAAACTGTTTCACAAAATATTTTTTGTTTTGATATTATTTATCACATTTTATTCATAAACACGAGTCATATACTTTACACAAATAATTTCATGCCTCTTTTTAAAAGATTGGTATTACACTCATAACTCACTCTACAGCAAACCCACAGGTTTCCTCTACAGCCTGGGTAAGCTTCTCCAGCATCTTGCTATGTGACTCGTATGCGGGAAGATCAATGCGATTGAAACACGTATGTGCCTTTGGCAGGTTTTCTGAAAGTTAAAATATGTAAAAATATATTGCTTAAATTATTTGGTTGTCACCTGCTGTACCTTAACACTTTGGTATCCCTCAACTGACCAATATTTGTTTCACATTTACCCACTTGAAATAGAAAATTTATAAGAACATTAAAAAAAAAAAAGGAAACTAAACAAGGCATATTGGCCCATGCAAGGCATCTCTTATTTATACTCTCTCAAACTCATTCGTTTACAGTATACTGTACCGAACATCTAACCTATGCTTGAAATAATTAAGCAATTCCATATCTATTATATTACACTGAATTTTTTTTTCCATAATCTATATTATTTTCAAACTAGATTGTGCCCTTTGCATCTTGTTTCATCTATCTTGTGTCCATATATTAACAGGGAACTAAATGTATCGGTATAAAATAGAACATGAAACATAGGGTATGACCACTTTCTAGTTTTGACATACCTGTTGGAGCATCAATTTGATGAATGGTAAAAAGTCTGGGTCCTGCAGCACCAGTAGAGCCCTGCAGAGCTTTGAAGCCTTGTAGTGGCACACGAGATGATCCCGTCACAAACTGCAGCAGTCGTGCTCTCATTTCCTCAGTGTATGAGTCAACTATCTGCCAGAACCACCCAACCACAGGTGTTTCTGGAGTGCAGTGCTAGGAAAAAGTATATAATATTAAGACAAAGTAATTTATAACAAATACATATGAAGCAATATTTCACAAAGTGAAGTTATTATCTGTGCAGTCGTGTAAATTAGGGTTTACACGGATGACAATGAATACGTAAGCAACAACTATAATATCCAGAATGTGTGTAATTATCTAACTGTAGTTACAGGATGAGAGCTATGCTCGTGGTGTCTTTATTATCTTGAGATGATTTCGGGGCTTTTTAGTGTCCCTGCGGCCCGGTCCTCGACCAGGCCTCCACCCCCAAGAAGCAGCCCGTGACAGATGACTAACACCCAGGTACCTATTTTATTGCTAGGTAACATGGGCATAGGGTGAAAGAAACACTGCCCATTGTTTCTCGCCGGCGCCCGGGATCGAACCCGGGTCCACAGGATCACAAGTCCAGTGTGCTGTTCGCTCGGCCGACCGGCTCCCATGTCCCGTCTTTTCCAAGTACTCTTTGTGGTATGAAGCTTTGAAACTACTGGACAGTTTTGGCCTCCACCACCACCTTCTCCATTAGTTTGTTCCAACCATCTACTACTCTGTTTGGAAAAAAAAAAAAAATCTAATATTTATTTTTGGCACCTCTGTTTTCTTAACTTGAATCCGAGTCCTCTTGTTTGTGAAGTTGCTGGTTTCAGATATTCCTCTTTGTTAATTTGGGTGTATTCCTGTTAGTATTTTGTAAGTGGTGATCACATCACCTTTTTTTTATCTTCTAGTTTTGCCACATTTAAAGACACTAGTCTCTCTTTAACTCTTGTTTTTTCAGTTCCGGAAGTCATTTTCTAGCATGCCATTGCACCTTTTCTGGTTTATGTGCTTCTGAGATTTGGGCACCATACAACTGCTGCATATTTCAATTTTAGTTTCACAAAGGTCATGAAAAGTTTTAATATTTCACTATCCATATAATTAAAGCAAGTCTTAAGTTGCAAAGTGGTGCATACGCTCCTCTCACAATCTTCTTTGTGTGTTCATCTGGTGACAGCTTACTATCCAAAACCACCCCTAGATCTCGTTCTTTACTACTCTCGTCTCCCACTACTGTGCTACAAGTCAGGTATTAATCACCCACTACAATAGTTAGGTAGCATGTCTTGGGTTTGCTGCTAAGTGACCTAACAAGAGTAACAATATACCACCCATTCTTTATGCCAAACCAAGCAAATTTTGCCCCCGTCTCCATACCAGTTATGTATTTCAACTGAAAAAAGAAAAAGAAATTCATGTCTCTTACCTTGAGTCTTGTGTTGGCTTTCCAATCTTCAATATCTATTTTTCCTAAACCGCCAATGATCAGTTCTAGTTCTCGTTCATCAAAAGGCTTCAACAGCTGCTGTGGGACAACTTCAGTGAAGCCTTTTTGAAGAGCTGCAAACTGTTGCTCAATACCCTGAAACAAAAGACACTTATAAACACTTACTCTTTCTCCTTCATAAAAACATCATTGTACAGTATTTATCCCTTAAGCAGTGGACATCGTCAATTGTTGATTCATAGGATAATGTGGTTATCAACTGCATTAAATATATGAAGATTGAAACCATTATTATCTGGGTTTTACATGTATGATGCAAATACTGTATGGATATAATAGGTCTAAGTGGATGTAATGGAGTTCACCTGGACCCATGAAAAAAGCCTGTTGCCGTTACATGGTATGAATGTGGTTAGCATCATGAATGTTACTAGGGGAATGCGGTCATTGTCATGTGACAATTTAAACAATTATTGTCTAGGTTTTACACATGTGGTGGAAATATGGAAATACAGGAATAGCTCTCTGTAGATGTAGATAAAGAAAAACAATCAGTAAAACATCTGAGAATAAAACAGGAAGCATCAGCAAAGTTGAGCACCAGGAATCAACAAGTGCCAGATGCAGCCCTGCAGAGTGCCTCTACCCAGTGAAACGATAGCCATACATAACTACTACCATACATAACATTTTCCACTATATTAACTATTTTTTTCTGAGCTGATGCCTGGACACCATGAAAATTGGGAAAAGTAATGATCACAAAAGAATGTCTTGGCTACATGGAAGACTAGGGATCACACAAACCACATCATTTGCAATATACATGTCTAATTACCAAACAAATTGCTTCACCTTGACCCTGTGCACCACTATTTCTCGTGCATTAATAACATATCTTGCCAAGTTTTTGTACACAATTATCATAACTAACCATCTTCTTGGCTTTCATTTTCCCCTCTTACCCACATATTCACACAATTCTACTTTATCACTGTTATCATTCTTTCAACACGGACAAAATATCTTAACACGCACACCTCAACCTTATCAATCGCACAAAAATAATTTCTAAACTTAATTTGTGGACAAACCTGCATAAATCTATAGTTGACATACAACCTAACATATTCCTTTTTGTTGTCTTCTGTGACCACCACGCTACTACCCCCCGTCTTCAGTTCTCTCATCTGAAGAACACCAAAGCTCTCGTGCTCAACAGTAAAAGTGCTGTCAATGACATCTGTGATGTCATTTTCCCTGTAAACAAGACAATATTATAAGCAGGAGTTTAACCTCGGTTAACATTTACTCAAGTATGTACTGTACCACCAATCCTTTTTAATACAAGTGCAGTATACTACTTAAATTTAAATTTTGTACTGCAATAAAATGCATTTTAGAAACCAAAATGTAGAGAGAAAAAAAAAAAAAACTTCATATCCTCCTCGTGGGTCCAACTGATTTTCTCATGGATCTATTATAAATAAAAATAAAAAAAGGGCTCTGACATAAAACATCACAGAACACTGCTTATACATGTGAAATTACTACCACAAGGAGGCTACACTACTCGCTAACAATAGGGAATTTCCATGTACAGTACTACTACTAAAAGGTAAAGGTGCTTCAAGGCACAAGCTGATATACAAAAGCATTCTCCAGAAATTGTATGGACACTGCCATAAATAAAATAAGCATTTGAAAGCCATTATATAGGCTTTCACAAAACATTACAGGAATTATTTATTGTACAGGTCTATAACATTCCGTTAAAAATACTGTAAACAAGTTCTCACAGCATCCAATTAAGCGAACGATGAAGATGCGGATCAACAGCTTCGATATCATCAAGAATGATGAGTTTATTCAGCAACATTTTGTAGAATGGCATGGAGAAGCCACCATCAATGTAGTGCCCATGAAATATTGCCATCCCTATCACACGGCCGACAAAATGGAAATATGACAAGTGCTCCTGGAAAGCAGAGAAAGATGGTAATTAATTACAAATAGAAACATATCAAGCTTAGGGTAAACTTTAGTGAAAATTAACATTTGGATTTACAATTCGGTTAATAACATTGCAAAGGTGGAAGGTGTAAATGGTGATCTAACAACTCCCATTAAACTGGATGCTTTCCAAGGTAGGCTAGTTGAGCCTTGAACTTTTGCCTGAGCAGCTCCTCTGCCTGACCTGACCTTTTATCTCCATCACCTCTTGTATCACTTCCTGCTCCATACAACTTTTACTTCCCAATTTTATTTGCTTCCCCAAATCCAATCTCCATGTCTATAGCTGGGGATTGTATGTATGTATATATGTATGTACTCACCTAGTTGTGCTTGTGGGGATGAGCTCTGGCTCTTTGGTTAAGCCTCTCAACTGTCAATCAACTGATGTACAGATTCCTGAGCCTACTGGGCTTTTTCATATCTACATTTGAAACTGTGTATGGAGTGTATGGAGCAAGATCATCTTGCTCTGAATCCGAGTGTTTTCTCCAAACTACACCAAGCCCTCATGCTACAGACACTTTACATTCCTTAATAAATATGGAATTGCCCGAGTCTGAACCTGGGGTTCTTTTTCAAAATCTATAATGTTCATGTTGATATCAGCTATGTTATCAGAGGTTTGAATATCATTCATAAAGAAGCTGTCCAGATCTCTTTTGATACTACTGTATTTCCATTTTCACATTGTTCATTGGGGTGCTACACACTCATATTGCCCTTCTAGGATTTCACTCAATTCTTTGTTGTCCTCTGTAAATGAACTTTTACTTGCAAGTATAGATCAAATAGCTATTGCTATGAAAGATGTTCAACTTTAAAATGATAAGGGTTGAAAATTTACACAAAATATAGTAATTCTTCAAGACATACATATTTCAAATTACAACTACATTTAAACATATACTATGCTATATTGAACCATTCTTGTGATAGATACAGTACAGTATATAAAAATACTAGTGTGATAACTTAGTCCAATAAACTGGACCAAGTCGTCCAGTTTATTGCTTGCAGTAGCCTGCAGGCTCTCATATCTGCAACAACCCAATTGGTCTTGAACTTCTTGCAGGAACATGTCTAATTTTTTCTTCAAATCCACTTTCATTCCAGCAATGATTGGCTCCGATACAAAACATTCTAGGGTACAGTAGCGTTTGCATATTACTGGGAGTATTCCTGGCATTAGGGTGTGCATGTAAACATTTTGAAGAAACCAGTAGATTCTGTACACCAGCAGATTAACAATTGAGATGCTCAATCCCTACACGTACAACTAGGCGAGTACAACTATTCTAGAACACATTTTATTTTATATACATTCCCTATCTCCCTGGGAGGGAGCCAGTCGGCCGAGCGGACAGCACGCTTCTGATCCTGTGATCCTGTGGTCCTGGGTTCAATCCCGGGCGCCGGCAAGAAACAATGGGCAGAGTTTCTTTCACCCTATGCCCCTGTTACCTAGCAGTAAACTAGGTACCTGGGTGTTAGTCAGCTGTCACGGGCTGCTTCCTGGGGGTGGAGGCCTGGTCGAGGACCGGGCCACGGGGACACTAAAAGCCCCGAAATTATCTCAAGATAACCCTTCCCAACACTGACATATGCTTTCTCTTCCTACATTTGCCACATGTCATCCTCCTCTACACTGGCATGAGAAGGTAACAAAAGATGAAAATTTTAAATTTAGCTGAAATATAATGTAATGTTACTAGAAACAACTACAGTATACTTACCGGGTTAACGCTGGAGTCTGGATTAATTTGGAGAGTGTAGATGTCATCCCTGGAATACTGGAACAAACCATAGTAGGGGTTGAGCATCTCGTGAGAGAGAAGGTACAACCATTCACGAGCAACACCACCATAATCCAGTCCTTCTTCTCCTTTAAACTTCACCATTAATCTCTTGCGCAAGTCCTTTGGTCTCATTTTCATGATTTGTCTATAAGATTCCTCAAAGACTTCACCACGTGGAATGTCCAACCTACAGTGACCACTCTGAGGTTGAAGACACTGCAACTCTGCTCTCAATACCTTCATCTTAGCAACTAAATCACGCTTATACTTAGGCAGACAGTCAGCCTCCACATCTATCACTGCTGGCTCCTTGGACCCAGACATATTATTGTTACTACTTATTTGTAGGTTGGTGCTGTTATTCTGGAGCACCACTGTGTTACTGCTGTCTGCACTAGTAGTCACCCCACTTCCTTCACTGCCTATATTGTTGCTAGTGTTAATGCTAGTGGGTGCAACACTTGGGCTACCTGCAGTACCATTAACAATTGAGCTATTTGGTTCTTCGCTATTAGGCACAATATTGGGAATAGTTTCTCCTGGTATGTTAGACTCGGGAGACGGCCCTCTACTTCGAGACGAGCTATTTCTTCTACTGCTAGAGGATCTATTATTTCTATTATTTGGAACACTGCTGTTAGACACAGAACTGTCAATATTCATATGGCTTCTAGTATCACCGTTACTTCCCGTTTCTATTATACTTGTTCGATTACTTCCCTCACTGCGGTTCCTGGAAATATGTAGATAACATGTCAACATCGATAAAGAAAAATTCTCTTAATAATATACACTATAATTACATTACTTGGGCCAAAAATTGATTATTGTACTAAGTTGTACACATTAAATTTATGCTTGTATGAGTTATACATACAGTATATTTACATTTAAATACATATTTAGATTTAAATGAATAGGTATAAGTCAGGTTTATCAAAAAACAAGAAAAGCTAGAAGCTCATGTGATATTATAATTTTACATCACCTAAAAATAATATTGATGACAATTCCAAAATAATAACCAACCTGAGAATGTTGTTGAGAATATGACTATTAGAGAGCCTAGGATCAGTGAACTGTGTTGTGCGGTTAGTGTGATCCAGGAAGTAAGGCCGGCCACTCGGAGTGTGTCTCAGTTCCCATCCTCCTGGAAGAGGTGCTATCTCATCGATGTTGACCTGGCCTAAATCACGAGGCACTCTGGGGTCATGCCAGGTGGACGTTCCAGTGTGAATGTTGTAATAGTATACTTGGCCCTGCTGTGTGGTTCGCATTTCTAGAAGGTAAATAAACAGTCATTGATTAACAAACTGTATAACTGAAGAAATAGTAACAAACATTCTTCATTACATTAAATACTTTTTTGATATAAGAGGGCTAAAAAATATTAATTTTGTTTCTTTTCAATTGGGTTCACAGAATATAATGAGCAAAATATATGACCAACAAATTTTTTTATGATGGTTTCAGCCATTCATTATTTTTTAATATTTTTTCAGTGAACTTGCTGTTGATTGGCACCAATTGAACCAAGCCGCCTCAACAGACCAGGAATACAGCTCTCCTCTGAATTGATCTCTCGAAAACCCCGGGCAAAATGAAAAAACGAGGGGATGCCATTCTTGGTAGTCTTACTGATGAGGATATGCTCACTACCGATTTTAATTTTGATAAGAACCTTGCTCTATTTGAGAAGCAGGTAACTGGGTTCCTTACATTAAAAAATTATATATTTTTTGCTCTTTGGTAGCTATTTGCTGCACCTTGATCAGATTTGATAAAAAGCTAGTAATAATATAATTTTTACTACTTTTCCTGTACACAGAGAAATAACATTATTGTGATATATCAATGAACACGTCCACAGGAGCCGTGATGAGGGTTCACAGCAAACCCAGAGCATAGATTCCAACCCTCATCACGGCTCCTGTGGAACTGTAGTATTTCACGTGTTACTAAATACACCATCTAAGCCTTTCCCAGTCGGTAATAACATTTTCAAGCCTGCAATTCCTGGTGTAAAATTTATGAAAATTATGAAAATTATTAGTGGAATGATAAATATTCACTTATTTTTGTATTTTTATTACATTCTGCATACGATGACCAAACCACACACCAGAAGATGAGACGATGTTTCGGTCCGTACCGGACCATTATCACAATCGGCTTTATAACGGTCCAGGACGGACCAAAACGTCGTCGTCTTCTCATCTTCTGGGGTGTGGTTTGGTCAGAATATCTTGAGCCACATTATTGTGACGTGTCTGCATTCTGCATGCAAATTAATAATTCTATAATGAAAAATTAACTGTTGGAATTTTTTTTATTTTCTGTGCATAGGTGGGTACGACTATTTCTCCATAGCCACTGTTTAAGGGTTAAAATAATTATTATTATAATAATTCATTGTGTCAGGGAACAAGCACCCAGAGTGTATTCAAACACATTAGGCTTATCTCGAGGTCCCACTCCAAAATCAAATTACTGACTCTGCCCAGGATGCAACTCCACAACAATCTGATTGACACCCGAGTACCTACTTACTGCTAGGTGAACAGGGGCATTAGGTATACTTGGATAGGAAATGCATCCAACCATTCCTGTCCTGCCCAGGATTCTAACCCAAAATTCTCGACTCTGAGTCAAGAATGAACCCAACTACTACCGGGACCCAACCCTATATAATTCTTAATATCATAAAAATACCTGCAAATAGTGCAGGGAAACATTTGCATATTTCCAATCTATGGGAACTATTCCTTTGTCTAGATATTTTCTGAAAAGAAGTTATAGTGGTAGACATAGTTCATCTGCAAGTTCCTTTATAATTTTGGACTGAATTCCATCCACACTTGGGGCTTATGAGTCATTATTGTTGAAGGGTGTCCCAGCAGGTGTTAGAAGTGGTTATATATTGTTTGATAAAAAAATGATTCCATTTCTTGGGAACCACCGACACATAATCTGATACACACGTAATGTGCAAATTAACATGGTTCATTTGTCATGTGCCAGTTATATTTTCATTTGATATGCCTTGGATGCCCTCTAATGCCACATTGTTTCAATATGTTGATAATGTATTCTTATCAAAACAAAAATTTGAACATATTTTTAGGAAAATTAAATAACATAACCCAATCTCTTAGTTCACAATGGAAAGTCTTATTAAAATATATGGTCAAATTGCTCAGGATATTCTCTTACTGTAAGTTTAAAAAAGAAAGAATATAAAGAACACACTAATTCTCTTGTTTCATGATGTTTAACCACTTAACTGCGCCAACCGAGTATTCTCGGTCGGTGGGAAACTGCGCCAACCGAGAAAACTCTGATTTTTTCGTACCCATTCTAAATGTGTGCGAGGTTGGTTGTGTACGAAATGGACTCTTAGGACCTCCAGTGAGAGGCACCCATCTTGGAAAAAATTCCCAGAATACCCTAGGGCTGCTGGCTGGGTAATGGTGGTGCGCTGCCCTGGTGGCCTGATGCGGCATCACAAAGCATCACATTCATCAATACAAATTTCCCATCCTGTATAGAAATTCTCTTGCCCAAAATATAAACAACTACACAGTTTATCTTAATGAGGTAAGAGTTGGGGGTACAAAATCCACTTTACAATATCTTTCAATAAATGTATGATGAAACATACTAAAATATTTGTTTTTCCACAAAATATCCTTGTAAAATAGGATTGCGACCTTTGCGAGGGTGCGTCTCTTACGCCGGCAAATACGGTATTTATTTTACTGTGTGGTAATTAGAATATATAACATGGCCTTCATTTAATAAATCAAATACAGTACAATATTTACAATACTGACCAAAACCATCGGGAAGATCTGGTGGTTGATGAAGCTGGTTGCGGGAAAGGTAATGTCGATGTCGTGCAGATCGTCTCCGAACTGAATCTGGATTTCGTCTAGATTCACCGGCATCTCGCTGACTAACCCGTTCTACACTTCCTGCCCTACTCCTCCTGTGCTCCCTGTCCCTGGGATCCCTGAAAACATTGAACAAGAGTAACTCAATGACCAGGGTAAGTTATTAATTAAGAAACAATACGACACTGGAGTCTCAGTTCTTGGACACTCATTAAACAACATGTAAGGGGGTTCATCCTGGAATTAACTTTATATAAGGCCAGAGAGGAAAAGAGAGAGGGACATAAATAAAACATGGCTAGTATTTTTGTACAATAGATTAAAAGCACAGATTAACTACTTATCTTTGATAACTTCTTAACCTTTGAAATGTAATTACCTAAGTGTAATTACAGGATGAGAGCTACACTCGTGGTGTCCCGTCTTCCCAGCACTCGTCGTCATATAACGCTTTGAAATTACTGACAGTTTTAGCCTCCACCAACTTCTCACCTAACTTGTTCCAACCGTCTACCACTCTGTTTACAAAAATGAATTTTCTTATATTTCTCCAGCAGCTTTGTTTCATTAGGTTAAATCTATGACCTCTTATTCCTTGAAGTTCCAGGTCTCGGGAATTCTTCCCCATCAATTTTAGCGATTCCTGTTACTATTTTGTACGTAGTGATCATATCGCCTCTTTTTCTTCTAACTTCTAGTTTTTATATATTTACCACCAATAAGCAGCTCATCTTTGAAAAAATAATTCTCAACGTGCCTTTTTGTCTTTCTTCTCACTGTCGTGTAGATGTGTCTTGCTTGTTTGTATTACTGGTACATCTGAGCGTTAGGCCTCTTCCTATATTATTCCTATAATAACTCCTATATTATTTTGTCTTATTCTCTGCCGTTCTTGCAATTTCTGTTGAACCATTCCTGTATTCTAGCTCTGCATCTGTGTTTTGGTATAAATATTATTGCACATGCATAAGAACTCTTTTCAATGCAACTCATTAAAGTACTTACTAAGTTTCCCCATGGTGTTCTCGCCTAAAATCAAATTTTTCAACTACAGTATTTAAGTTCCCCATTCTCTTTTAAATTATAATGCATTGCATATTATATTTCCAAGAGGACATGGTTGCCCTTACCCAAGGGAGGAAGGTACTGTCAAATACCATCTCTTTCTTTCCTGGTGGATATTATATCCAGCATTGATGGAACAGTCCCTCATTCGCATGACCTGCTTAACATGTTAAACATCTCTAGGATGAGGTTTATAAATCTGCCAGTCCAAATGTCGTCCATTCTTGCTTCATAGGCTACTCAGTCTATAGATTCCAAGTTCAAGTTACCAAGTACATATTATATATTACTCAGATCACAACCTAATCAAAGTTCAGACAAGCATGGGCAACACACCTGTGCAGCCAGTCTCAATGCCAAGAGGAGAATTAAGCAAATTAAATTTTAATAACAAACTGATTAACTGGGAACAAATAAACCACACCCTCACAGAACTATGCTGGGAAGAATAGTTAGATAATGTAAACCTAAGCCAGTGCCTTGAGAAAACAGATACAGTAGCACTTGAAATATGTGTAAGTCACATACTAAGAAAATACTAACACACAAACACCACTAAGAAAACGGACAAAAAAAAAAATGCAAACTGGAACGAGAATGACGTTCCCTCTATAGGCAAAGGAAACAAATCGCAGAATAATTTGAACGCTCTACTCTATCCCTAGAACAAAGAAGGCTAAGCCGAGAAATAGAAATGATTGAGCTAAAGCTGCAAAATCATTAAATCCAAGAAGCAAAGAGAGCAAAAAACCATCAGTGCAAGAGAAATCCAAAAGAATCTCTCTTATGCAAGATTTATAATAAAAACTATTGAACATGCACTCTATACCAGGCCCAGAATCTTGGAATTCTGCAGTCATGAAAAAATTCCTAAAAACCACAATCACATGCTCTAAACATCTTTTGGAGAAAGAGCCTAGATACTAGTGTTATCACCGACATTCTTAAAACAGCAGAGGACATAAAGTAGATATAAAAAGTTGTAGACTAACAGCCGTAACATCACAAAAATCTTCGAAATAGTGATAAGATCACAAAACACATGGAATTGCAATGTTTACATAACCCTGGACAACAGGAGTTCAGGAGAGGGAAACTCCTGCCTCTCACAACTGCAAGACCACTAAAACATGGGCCATAGATGCTATAAAAAGACAAGCAAAATGCTGATGTAGTATACAGAGATTCCACAAAAGCTTTCTATAAATATGATCATAGTGTTATTGCGCACAAAATGCATACAAAAGAAATTACTGGCAAAGTAGAGATATGGCTCTAACTTAGTAACAAACAAAAGTCAAAGTGTAATAGTCAACAAAGTAAAATCCGGATCATCCACAGTGAAAAACTCGAGTCCGCCTAGGTACTGTGCATGTTCCGGTACTTTTCCTCATCCTAACATCACACATACAAGGATACAGACACTAGGATTTTCATGAGTGCAGACAATATAAAGGACACAGCAAACCTTCATCTGATGTTAATCAGGTCTGAAGTTTAGTGAAAAAAAGTTCCAGCTACTGTGCTATGGAAGAAACAAAAATATAAAAATGGAAACCTCATGAAATATAGTCAAACCACACAACTGAAAGAAAAAGCAATATCAAATATTTGGGAGTAATCATGTTGGAAGACCTTACTTTTAAAGAACACAATAAAGAAGCTGTCACACAACAGCAAGAAACATGAAAAGTTGAATAACAAGAACCTTCCAAACAAGAGATGTCATACCAATGATGATACCCTTTCAGACACTAGTGCTCTCTAGGGTAGAATATCGTTATATACTAAACAAGCGTACATGCAATACATACGCCTATATTACCCTAGGCTATTATACACTGCATATATATATATATTACCTTTATCTGTTGTCTGAACACATTATTCAGAAAAATATTAAAACACTGGTAGGCAACACCCAACTGTGATTTGATAATAATCGCACGCCACTGGTACACAATAACCTCATCGCAGAGAAACCTAACCTAGCCTCATCACAGAGTATACAATTACAAGTGATAGCATAATTTTTCTTCAGTCCACATTAATTCCATTACATCCATATACAGAAGATGTATTAAAATCATTTATCCATCATTTGTATAGAAATAGGAGACAACTTAAATCAATATAAGATGATAACCACATTATCTCAGGGATCAACACATGACAATTAGACTAAGGGGTGAAGGGTTATCTTTGGCTGCAAGAAGCAGACATTCTCCAGATATTACAGACACTATAAATTAAAGTTATTTGTACAAAACCATATGGTATCATTATCATGGATACCTAATAAATAACATTTGTTTACCTTCTACCTGGTGTTCCTTCCTGTGGTATGTCTGAAGAACTCGTATTGGGATTGCTCAGAACTATATTTCCTCCAACTGGCGACGTGGTGGAAGCTGTGCTCGCAGCAATGGTGTTGGATGAAGTGGAATGTCTGCTCGGAGAACCCAGAATGCTTGTGTCACCTGGCCTGCAACACGCGGCACTGTGTCGTGAGGTCGATGCTGGGTCACACCGAGAAGAGGGGGAGGGCCGAGTGCAGGGAGAGCCAGGGGCAGTGTAGGGAGGACAGGCCTCATTACAGCCAACTATGCAGGGGACTGGTGCAGATGATAGTGTAGGTTGGTTGGGTATGTGAGTAGAAGACTTGTGATATACTACACAACAGTTAGGATCTAAGGAAGAGGATGTAGAAGGTTGAATGTGACTATAGCCTCCTACACAGCTGGAAGAAGCACAGGATGAGGGGCATGCTTGACTAGAATCTCTGGCACAGTTTGGAGAACCCGAGGATGAGGGACAATCAGAGGAGCAGGGAGGGGAGTTGCAGGTCTTGGGAGCAACACAGGAGAAGACAGACGAGAGGAAGACATAGATGGCACATGGACACACGTACGTCTTGTCACGCCGTCTGCGCTCCACTCTGTAATAAGCCAATTGGAAAGACCAATCACTTTTGTCTTTCACGGTGAACAGCCCTTCACAATCTTGGGAGCCCTAACACACCCTGAACATTGTTCGACGTCTCAATGACACCGCAACATTCATTATTCTTTAATTTAAATATTAAGCTGAGTTCTCTTTCTCATTGCAGTGCAGTGTGCAATTGGTACATAGCAGTAGCAATTCACCAAATACACATTGCATTTGCATTTGTCAAAGTCAGTCAACCAAATTGGTACACTGCAATTATTTTTTTTTAATATGATACCTAATGTGGACTTGTGCACATTAATACAAAAGAAAATATTCCTTAATCAGAAACTTAATAATACAGAGAAATTAATACGATTTGCCAGAGGCTGTTATTTACCATTACCTATTAGTTAAATCTACAGAACAAGCTCAAAAAAATTTTTTGCCAACAAATAAATCAGCAGTGGAGCTGCAGGCAGACAGTGCATATGCAACACACATGATAAAGTTGAAGGTCATCTAAAAATAAAAAATGTACACGATTGCACACGGTCCCTTAACCCTTAAACTGCGCAAGGCGTATATATATATACAGTATATACGATGGGACATATCACTCGGTTTTTAAAATTTGCTGAAACGCTTTCCAATGCATAATCTACTAGGCAAATGCTTCAACTGTCTAAATGATCAACTTGAAAAACAAGAAAAATAAAAAATTGTAAAATTGAATATTAAAAACTTAAGATCTTCAAATCTGATTAAAAAATATCAAGTATCACCAATTGTTCATTTGGTGTTATTAGACACTCAGAATAGCATATGAACTTTATTTTCATCAAATTAGAATACAGGTTTTCAGTATTGTTTACTGGAAAAAAAAATCGTCAATATGGCATTTGAAATATGCAGCAAATTTAGACAAAAAATTTATAGCTTCAAACGTTTAGGGTATATGAAAACCATTTTATAGCGACTGTAGAACAGACAGCTGTGCACACTGTATGTTAAAATGGTGAGAATCCGTCAGAAACGGGATTGTTTGACCCTACTCAAAAATTGAAATTCTAGTTATAGATATACTGTATTTGAAGTTGAAGTTATCTACAATGAATAAGGTAGTTCTAATTCATTAATTTACATGTATGTTTTGATAAACACTGTTTGGCATTCGTACTCGAATATGTGAAAGTTATAGGTCAATGTGTGTTTAAATGAAGTCAAGACAAAAATAACCCCACAAAAAAACAAAAATACTATAATAATTATAATGATTTAGGGTATATAGATATTTAGGGAAAACCTTACATAAAAGCAAAAAAGTCCTAATCTGGTCCCTAATCATCAAAACAACCTAAAGAGACAAAGAAAATAGAGTTTGAAATCTGTGAAAGGATCTGCCCAAAAAAGTTCAAAATCCTACGCTTTGCGAGTTGTGACAGATTTATTTGTTGACCAATTTCATTCTATCTTCACATAGTTAGGGAGGAGTATACACTCTCCAGGATGTAGTGTGTTCAACAAAATCGGATAATAAAGAAAAAATGAAGAAAAAAAAATCACCCCCCAAATGAATTTTTTGGGGACATTGCTGAAAGTAACAGATATAAACACTGGGCAATGTATTTATATGATATATATATACCTGTACTATATATATATATTACAAAATAGAGCATAATAATATACCAACTCATTATTATTTGTGTCATTATTATTTATGTTATGCGTTACTCAGCAATGCTATAAAGGCACCAGCTGCATATCCACTTAGTGGATACTTCTTACTACTACTATTCTTTCAGCGTTGGACAGGTGCTTGCATCTCTCTATTACTGCATTATCCATCAGTTCCAGTTAATAGGAGCTGTTCCAATCAACAAAATGTTGTTCTTTTTAAAAAATTCGTCTATTTAAAAAATTTGTCTAAAATCAATTTCTGAAAATATCTTTATGAAAGTTTTACGATGCTGTGAAACTGAAGCCAATAAGTTGGAGATTTATTTAACATTTTTTAAGTAATTTTTACATAATTCAAATATTTTTCGCTGCCTGACCCCTTATGCTTAGCAGTTTAAGGGTTAAAGATTTTTTTCTTTTACTCTTTGCTTGGACTGCATGGCAGCAACTTGCTATAACATTACATATTTTCTATTTCCATTACTTATGAACTACATTTTGCAGAGCAACATACACCAATGTGGTGCAATGTGCACAACTGTACTATGTTTTTTATAAAGCTTGGCTCACTGATTTTACTCCAATTATTAAGGAACAAAATACTGTTCATCTACAGATGCAGTTTATGTAAAGTCATTTTTGTCAAATGTTTACACTATAATACTAAACAAATTTTTACTCTAATACTTCATTACAAATTAAATTAAATTTTTAGTTTAGTTCATCTATTATGCACATCATACCTAACCTGTGGGCAGTAGTGGAAAGATTAGACGCCCATAACGGGCTCAGAAACCGAACCCAAAAATTAATTTACCTAAGCAAGTTACAATCTTGATAAGTTAGTTACACAAGTTGAATAAATTAGGTGAACACAGTTAAAAAAAAAAAAACAAGTACAGTCTCTAAGGTAGGCAACTTACATATGCAATGAGCTAGATTCATAATTTGATGTGCTCATCATGCACATCACCCTCTCCAGTGAGTGGCAATGGAAAGGTTATAATTATAATCGCCCACATTTATTATCAACAGCAAACTGGGAATATTTGGCTAAAATTTCTGGTAGTAGATAATTTTTAATGAAATATACATTCCTAGAATATTTGTTGTAAACCTGTCTGTAAATTCATGTATCTTTCCACACTTTCATATACTGTAGTGATGATGGAGGGTGTAAGAATTTTGATGACAGTTTAAATTTGGTTAGGTCTACAGCAACTTCTAGGAGTCTGCTAATTTTATTGGATGATCTATAGATGTGTGGCTCTTTTTGCACTATAATGTGATAAGATGGAAATGATAGTGTAAATTTACACTTTTCTTCAGGTTCTTTGTGTATTGTTAGTCTTCAGTTGCTTATAGGCAATCCAAGATTATAGTCAACTCCTCTGAAGGCAGATTCCTTGGCTAACCCATCAGTTCCATCATGCATTAGGAGGCCAACACAAGACAGAATCCACATGAAATGGATTCTGTTACTATCAGTAATTTTGTTGTATTTGTGTCTAGCTTCAGACAAGTATGTTCCAATTGTATCTTATCCACTGTGCTGCGCCAACTGAGAAAACTCAGTCGGTGGGAAACTGCGCCAACCGAGAAAACACCTTTTGAATCTTTCGAACCCAATCAAAACGCATGCGCAGTAGGACGTGTGCGCAGTAGGTTATGTATGAAATGGACTCTTGAGACCTTCAATGAGAGGCAGCCACCTTGGAAAAAATTCCCAGAATGTCCTAGGGCTGCTGGCTGGGTTAGTACTGAGTAAGCAACCAGGGGTGGCACACGCGCCTCTGGCTCCCAAACACTTGTCCAACGCAGTGTTGAAAGATCGCTCTTTGGCGGTGAAATTCAGACCTTATTGTTTGAAGAACATAAAGACCATGATATTTATGAAGCTAGGCGCAATAAAGACCTAACACAAAGGTCGGATGCAAGTGATAACAGCACCGATGAGGACAATACAGCGAGCGTACAGTATCCAGTTGTAGCTCTGAGTGCCCTATTGCCCACCCATGCCATCTCCAATTTTTATAGATGATACATAGATGCAAAATTGAATATTAAATAACCGACTATCATAATATACTGTACTGCAATGTTAAAGTTTTTGTTAGGGGATAATGCTTATGATAATATACCAGTCTTTATAATAATTAACAGAACTCTTAAATCAAAATCTGTGAGGGCACCTGTACTTTAAGTCAGTGCATCAAATTAGCATACTATTATTTTTTTTATTATTATTATTATTATTATTTGTGGCTCACACTGAAGGTTCCCGAGAAAAAGTGAACACGGCTTGTTATTCACTTTAGGAATAGCTTCATCATCCTTAAAGCATCCAGGAACTTATTGGACACCGATTGTTTCCAAGAACCATTTAAACATAATTTTGCAACGACTCTAGTTATCATTAATGGTAAGGCTGATACAAATGTTATCATTTAAAAAAAAACTTTACTGTCCATGTACCATATCTGAATACAGTAACTGAAAATAAATTAAGAAACAGAACATAAGAGTGCAAGCCAAAAGCGGATACCAAAAGGGTGCAAATAGGTTAGATGTGAACTTATAAATAACTAAAAAATAAATAATTAAGAAATACATATTGTATCTTGCCAAGATGAACAGGGAAACAAACTCAAGAATTTGTGAGGGTGGAGTTAGCAGTGGCTGCACAAGCAATACCACCCTTGTGGGTGGGGGCTCAGAAGGAGGTGGAAGACAAAAGATATTCTGATAAATATGAAACAGGTTTCAGCACAGAGCAGCAAGTCAAACAATATTAATGGAAAGAATATTAACGAATAAATAAAACAGACAAAAATATATATAGTCTATTGACCTCTTGCACATGACATCACCCAGCCACACATTTTGCTACAAGGGAAAAAAAAAAAAAAAAAAAAAAAAAAAAAAAAAAAAAAAAAAAAAAGCGAGTCGACTGATTTTTTCATTTCCTTAAATATACCTGCACTGAATGTATAGTATTTTATTATTTGAAAGATTTTAAAATAATTTTATTGTACATAATTACAATGCATTTTACATGATCATACATATGATTAAGTAGATCATGCAGGTTCCGATGACTATCAAATTTAAAAAGCAAATTTATGTGCACCTATGAATATTGGTCATTGATCACGGCAGGTATACTTTGTCACCTGATAATATTGTCAGCAACACACTACACACTGGAAATCTTATTATCTGGAAAAAAGAATAAATTTAGCACCAATACAATACCCATAAAATGTAACAAAGAAGATACTCCATCCTAGACCCGTGTCACTGATATTCATTCCTTGAATACTACTGGAGAAAGGAGTTGGGGAGAGAATAATGGTGCACCTTAAGAGGATAGTCTTTATATATGGTTTAAAAAGAGAAGTCATGTCCAATAAATTTGAGATTTCTATGACAATATTACCAAAATACGATAGAAAGAAGGCCGAGTAGACTGCTTTTTCATAAGACTTTCGCACACCAACAGCTAGTGTACAAAATAAGGAGATAAGCAGGGATAACTTCATAGACCCTAAACTGGGTGAGAGTACCTGACAGTCAAGAAGACAATGAGTCACAGTCAGAAGATACATGTCAAGCTGGAGGACTGTGACAAGCTGGGGGGGGGGGGGGGGGGGGGGGGGAGGGGGGCCAAATATTGCATATTCTTGAAGGTATTATACTTTAACTTTCTCAGTAAATAGGCCTAGAGGCAAGAAAACCTGGTATGGGGGTTAGAAGCCGGCTGTGAAGGGAATAACCTGTTGTTAATGACATGTTTGTATGCACATTACTTGGTGTTCTATGTCAAGTAAGGAGGAACTGTAGAAGACAATGTATTTAATAGTGTATGCAAGAAATGAAATATGAGAGTCAATGTAGAAGAGGCAATATTATTTTTTATATAAAATGTACTGGGATGTTAGGGACTTCATAGAGCCTTTCAGAGTTGCAATAAAATGAGCAGAACTGAAGAAACATAAATGGTAAGAGATATCAGAGGAAACTATGTATTAAATACAGTTCAGTACTGTATTGTACAAGGGGCTATGCAAGACAAATATGGGAGCATGCAAGGTGAATTAAGAGGTTAACAGAGTAAGATGGGATGTGCAAATAATTACAAGTGTGTAGTTACAGGACAAGATGTGCACTATTTACTATATTATTTGTCACACATTATGCCAAATTTGCCGAGATAAATGATGACAGCACAACAAAATTTATACCAATACAGAGATTCAAAACTAGAAAATAACACCGATTCAGCAGAAATTGTGAGAGGGTCAGAGATCAAAAGAAAAAAAAAATTAATCAATATAGGAAGAGATCTAACCCCCAAACATACCAGCAAGAACAACTACATGGGAACTGCACATCTTTTACATGTGAATACATGTTATATGAAGTATCTGTGGCTATTATAGTACTAGAGTACTGGCATTATTACATACATTATGTGTGCCGGTAATGTTGGTCGCTCCCAGGTGGTAGTGCGGTCATGATGGTTTACGTAATATAAACGACCAGTAGTAGTTCGCCTCTCCTCCCAGCCCTAAAGGTGCACAAACATTCACTGTCAACGTTTTGAAGGTTTTCATAACTTACATTTCAGGATCTTGGCCTGTTTTTAAATGTTCAACCCACCCTCCATAAAAAAATATTCTAATCATTTGATCTACAATATTGTACTCAGACTCATTTCTGTGTACTGAAAAGTAAATTGTGAACAAATGCATGGCATTGTAAAAATGTGTAGAAGGTTAATACTATACATAATGTACTTCAATGATACATGAAGATGATAAAATTAATTTTTAGTGGCCAGCATTTCTCCAGTAATGAAGACGTGCAAGAGTTGCTCACCTCGGGCAGGTCATCTGGCGAAGAGAGATTTCCCAATGTGTCAACAACAGCATTATGGGAGCCAGTTCCTCTGCCATCCCTTGACATTAGAGACACCACTATTTGCCCCCGCACAGGTTCACAGTCGTCGTGACCAATTCGTGTTAGGTCCAGTCTTTGGTCTGCCAGGAATAAGCATACATGCAATGAGATACACACAAAATACTTCGGGGTGTACACTGGGTGGACAAACTACTGTACTGGAAATGTGAAGGGCCGGGACAGCCGGGACACGGGTGGGAAGGGCCGGGACAGCCGGGACACGGGTGGGAAGGGCCGGGACAGCCGGGACACGGGTGGGAAGGGCCGGGACACGGGTGGGAAGGGCCGGGACACGGGTGGGAAGGGCCGGGACATGGGTGGGACGGGCCGGGACGGCCGGGACACGGGTGGGAAGGGCCGGGACGGCCGGGACACGGGTGGGAAGGGCCGGGACGGCCGGGACACGGGTGGGAAGGGCCGGGACGGCCGGGACACGGGTGGGAAGGGCCGGGACGGCCGGGACACGGGTGGGAAGGGCCGGGACACGGGTGGGAAGGGCCGGGACACGGGTGGGAAGGGCCGGGACACGGGTGGGAAGGGCCGGGACGGCCGGGACACGGGTGGGAAGGGCCGGGACGGCCGGGACACGGGTGGGAAGGGCCGGGACACGGGTGGGAAGGGCCGGGACACGGGTGGGAAGGGCCGGGACACGGGTGGGAAGGGCCGGGACACGGGTGGGAAGGGCCGGGACACGGGTGGGAAGGGCCGGGACACGGGTGGAAAGGGCCGGGACACGGGTGGGAAGGGCCGGGACACGGGTGGGAAGGGCCGGGACACGGGTGGGAAGGGCCGGGACACGGGTGGGAAGGGCCGGGACACGGGTGGGAAGGGCCGGGACACGGGTGGGAAGGGCCGGGACACGGGTGGGAAGGGCCGGGACACGGGTGGGAAGGGCCGGGACAGCCGGGACACGGGTGGGAAGGGCCGGGACAGCCGGGACACGGGTGGGAAGGGCCGGGACAGCCGGGACACGGGTGGGAAGGGCCGGGACAGCCGGGACACGGGTGGGAAGGGCCGGGACAGCCGGGACACGGGTGGGAAGGGCCGGGACAGCCGGGACACGGGTGGGAAGGGCCGGGACAGCCGGGACACGGGTGGGAAGGGCCGGGACAGCCGGGACACGGGTGGGAAGGGCCGGGACAGCCGGGACACGGGTGGGAAGGGCCGGGACAGCCGGGACACGGGTGGGAAGGGCCGGGACAGCCGGGACACGGGTGGGAAGGGCCGGGACAGCCGGGACACGGGTGGGAAGGGCCGGGACAGCCGGGACACGGGTGGGAAGGGCCGGGACAGCCGGGACACGGGTGGGAAGGGCCGGGACAGCCGGGACACGGGTGGGAAGGGCCGGGACAGCCGGGACACGGGTGGGAAGGGCCGGGACAGCCGGGACACGGGTGGGAAGGGCCGGGACAGCCGGGACACGGGTGGGAAGGGCCGGGACAGCCGGGACACGGGTGGGAAGGGCCGGGACAGCCGGGACACGGGTGGGAAGGGCCGGGACATCGGGGACACGGGTGTGATGGTCCGGGACATCGGGGACACGGGTGTGATGGTCCGGGACATCGGGGACACGGGTGTGATGGTCCGGGACATCGGGGACACGGGTGTGATGGTCCGGGACATCGGGGACACGGGTGTGATGGTCCGGGACATCGGGGACACGGGTGTGATGGTCCGGGACATCGGGGACACGGGTGTGATGGTCCGGGACATCGGGGACACGGGTGTGATGGTCCGGGACATCGGGGACACGGGTGTGATGGTCCGGGACATCGGGGACACGGGTGTGATGGTCCGGGACATCGGGGACACGGGTGTGATGGTCCGGGACATCGGGGACACGGGTGTGATGGTCCGGGACATCGGGGACACGGGTGTGATGGTCCGGGACATCGGGGACACGGGTGTGATGGTCCGGGACAGCGGGGACACAGGTGGGAAGGACCGGGACAGCGGGGACACGGGTGGGATGGTCCGGGACATCGGGGACACGGGTGCGAATGTCCAGGACATCAGGGACACGGGTGCGAATGTCCAGGACATCAGGGACACGGGTGCGAATGTCCAGGACATCGGGGACACGGGTGTGAATGTCCAGGACATCGGGGACACAGGTGTGATGGTCCAGGACATCGGGGACACAGGTGTGATGGTCCAGGACATCAGGGACACGGGTGTGATGGTCCAGGACATCAGGGACACGGGTGTGATGATCCAGAGCATCAGGGGACACAGGTGTAAAGGTTCAGGACATCAGGGACAAGAAAACTTAGGAGATAACTCTAAACCAAGGGACCAAGACTTTTCAACATCCTCACTGTAAATATATGGACCATACTAGCCGAATTGTTTTGCTATTGTGTTCAAACAGAAAAGAAACCTGATCAACTAGGTCATGAATCTGATAAGACAGCATGCAACAGCATCTAACCACCTAATCGCTCAGATCAACAATCAGGAGGCCTGGCTGGAAACCTAATCATGGGGCCAGTCATACCTGAAACCACTTCAAGGTAACTAAGGTGGTAGTTACCATGTGAGAGAGTCAGGTGAGAGAGAGAGAGGAGGTCGAAGCCGGTACTTACAGCCAGTGTCCTTGAGCCTGTGTATAGCAGAGGCCACGATACGGACGCACCCCAGGAAGCCGCTACCAGCCTTCTTGTGGATCTTGCGACGGTTCCAAACACTGATCGTAATGCCATCGCCCTTACCAACATATCTGCCAAACACAAACAACGTTAAACACACGTGTACATATAATAATTTCTACACTAACATTTACAGTGTAACAAGAAAGCAGTACACAACATAACATACCGCATAACAGCAACAGTTGGGCATGGCACCGGCAAAACACAATTGGAATTCACACCTCAGTCAGGCCCTAACCGAGGGCCAATGGTAAACTCTGGTCAACGGTAAAGAGGTCACGAAGTTGTCACAAACGATGCTGTCATGCTAATATCCACGAGAACTACCTCTTCCACATCAGGAGGCACAGGGTCTCGCATGCCCGTATATAAGATCACGTTCAATGAGAGAACAGAGTGAGTGAGTGAGTGTACTCACCTAACTGTGCTTGCGGGGGTTGAGCTTTGGCTCTTTGGTCCCGCCTCTCAACCGTGTGTGTGTGGGGGGGGGGGGACTGTGGGGGTGTCGGGGTGTTCAGAATCCAGGAGGAAGAATATCGAGTCTCAAGGTCATGTGGAACTCACTGTGTTAGTAAGTTACGGCACTATTGTAACCAACACATTTTCAATTATCTTTGCGTCTGTTAGGGAGCATAGTTAGGAATTGTCTTTTTAAATTCATAAATAAAGTAATATTTTCAAAGTGGCATCTCCTTGAGTAGTAATGGTACCTACGATGTGATACTGGACTTGCCGTTCTCTTTGCTCCCTTGTGCCCTAGTGTCCTTAATTGTCCGGGTTACCTCCCACTTCACATTCCATTTAAGGTGTTTCAATACTAGTGTGTCCAGCATTGCTCTCATTATTCTATGTAGTACACCTAAGTAGTTTCAGTTGTATTCGTGTCAGGCCAAGATCCTTTTACCATTCATTTGTTGCTTGCACCTGTCCTGGTAGGATATGGAGTCTACGATTCTGATTAGTAGGATATTGATTCTGTACTTCAGGGTGGTGGTGGTGGTGGTGGCGTTATTTGGGTGGTCACATGTACAGTACCAGCTAAGGCTTCTATCTCTCGCCCTCTCCTCTCTCACTCTCTCTTTTCCCATGTCGAGTTGCCTATGCAGAGCTCTGATCATCTGGAACTCGCCTCTGCAACTTACTGAAGGATACGACACACCCAACAGAATAAAAGTAACCAGCCAGCCGGCCAGCCAGCGGGCCCAAACCAGCCGGCCAGCCAGCCAGCCGGTCAACACGTGCAAAAACATTTGAGAATAAATGTGTTAGAGGAGCATGGGCACATTACTATACAACACTGGTGTTGAGCGTAGAGGCTGCAGCTGAGCCAACACTGTAATCACTACCCGCTTCCGATGTCTGCCTCAACCAAACCGAGATGTTCATTAATCTCCTCCATTACCATGCCAGGGCGGGTCCTCCTCCTCCCACGCTACCCCTGACAGGCCGGGTCCTCCCTCTACCCCCACCCCCCTCCTGCTGACAGAACAAGTCCCCACTCCCTCCCTCCCTCCCTCCACTTTGACAGTGCGATTGCCCCTATGTCCCTCCCTGCCCTCTGACAGGCGAGTCCAAACTCTCTCCCTTACCAGGAGAGTCCTCGACCCACAACCAGGGATCACATATGGGATCCGCCTTCCTCACAACCAGAGTTCACAACACCAAGTAGGCTCCCTTTCCCCTCCCTAAAAACAAAATACAAACGAGGGTTTGAAATTTATGAGCGCCACATGGTTCATAATGTGGGTGCCCACCACCACCAGGGATCACAACACTACGGGACGTGGCATGGGGGTGACGTGGGCCGTCCCATCCCCCACCCGTTACTGGCAACACATTATAAGTTCTAACTCGGTATTCTCTAAAGCGCAAGCCAGATACATGATAATCTACAGGTGTATCATAATACACTACTGCGGGTGGTGGAAGTAGGGGGTGGTGATGCTGCGGGTGGTGGGGGCAGAATACACCCGTTGAACAGCAGAGGTGCAATAGGTACTCTGAGAGAACTGTCAACATCAGAGGCCCGAGACTTCACGCTTCCACTACACATTAGGGCCATAACTGGCCGACCCCTCACAGTGTTCAAGAGAGAACTGGATAAGCCCCTCCAAAGGATATCTGATCAACAAGGCGGTGACTCATAACATCAGGCTGCAAGCAGCCGTATCCAACAGCCTGGTCGACCAGTCTAGCAACCAGGTTTGGTCGACAACCGGGCCGCGGGGACGCTAAGTCCCGAAAACACCTAAAGATAGGTGGTGGTGCGGGTGGTAGTGGGTGGTGGATGACTGGTGGAGTGGTAGCGTGGTTGGCGGTCTCAGTAACACGCATATCCGCCCAGACTTGGACCATTTCCTGTCCTGAAGACCCTTTACCCCAGACAGCCAGACAGGTCAGTCATCACGCCAGACCCTACAGTAACACACCCTCTCCAGATATAAATCTAGCCTTAAGAAATTAATAGGAATTAACGACCGCAATGAACGTAATTTAGACAAGACAGAGAAGATTGGATGAACTACAAGTTTCTGGGTTGTGAGAAAGCCTCTGACAGTACTCCATAGTGTAAACGTTAGTGTACATGTAGAAGTATACCTATGCCGCACCTTGAGTTGGTTACGGGGCGTAGCGTCCCCGCGGCCCGGTCATCGACTATGCCTCCTTGTTGCTAGACTGGTCAATCAGACTGTTAGACGCGGCTGCTCGCAGTCTGACGTATGAGTCACTCCTGGTTGATCAGGTATCCTTTGGAGGTGTTTGTCAAGTTCTCTCTTGAACACTGTGAGGGGTCTGCCAGTTATGCCCCTAATGTGTAGCGGAAGCGTGAAGTCTCGGGCCTCTGATGTTGATAGCTCTCAGAGTACCTGTTGTATATCTGCTTTTCAACGGGTGTATTCTGCACATCCTGCCATGTCTTCTGGTCTCATGTGATGTTATTTCTGTGTGCAGGTTTGGGACCAGACCCTCTTATTTTCCTCGTGTAAATTATTATGTATCTCTCCCGCCTGCGCTCAAGAGAATACAGATTTAGGCTCTTTAGTCGGTCCCAGTAGTTTAGATGTTTTACCAAGTGGATTCTAGCAATAAAGGATCTCTGCACGCTCTCCAGGTCAGCAATTTCTCCAGCTTTGAAAGGGGCCGTCAATGTGCAACAGTACTCCACTCTAGAGAGCATTAGCGTCTGGAAAAGTAGCATCATTGGTATAGCATCTCTTGTTGGAAAGGTTCTTGTTATCCAACCTGTCATTTTTCTTACAGTTGTGACTGTTACTTTATTGTGTTCTTATAAGGGAAGTTCTTCCCACGTGAGTTGTAATATTTTAAAGCCCGGCCGAAGGCCAGTCTTGCTTCATCGAGTTAGGTGAAACTTACCTGGATTCTGGGAGTTATTTTACGCCTCAAGCCCGGTCTGGAGGCCAGACTTGACTGGAGACAGCTTGGGATTTTGCAGCTCGCAGGCCCACGTATCCACTACAGCCTGGTTGATTCGGCACTTTTTGCAGAAAAATGTAGAGTTTTTTCTTGAAGACTTTCACTAGTGTTCCAGGAAAATTTATAATACTTGCTGGAAGAATATGGTACAACTGTGGGCCTCTAATGTTCTTATAGTGTTCTCTGAGTGTGCCTATGGCGCCTCTACTCTTCACTGTCTCTATTCTGCCTTTCCTGTCATATCGTTAGCTCCAGTATGTTACTCTACGGTGCAAAATTGGGCCTTGGTCTTCCAGTATTTTCCAAGTATATATTATGGGAGAGGTGTGTGTGGCCCCAAGTGGGAGCGGGCATGATGGGCGTGCACAACCAGTGCCGACAACACCTGAGCAACACGAGCGTGCACCTGCACCACACCTTCCTCCACAGTGTCACCAGGGAATAATGAGAATGCACTAACATCCCGGTGACAGTTACAGCCCCGCTCCTGTGCCCAAGTCCTCCTGTGCCCTACTTGAAACGGTTTGTTCCCAATAGCTGAATCTAAAAACAAGAATAAGAACAACAACAGATACGAGTGAGTGGAAGAAGACTTCATAAGCATTTTTAAAAGCAGATATGATTGAGCCAACGGGCTCTAAGGAATTGAGCCAACGAGCTCAAGAATCTGTACACTATGTTAATGAAAAAAAAACTGTGGTGAAGTCAAAGAGGTGAAGGTGGACCTGCACAAGCAGCCACAGGTGAGAGCAGGGAACGCTCCCACACACCTCAGGGAAGACAAATGAACGGCTAATCCCTTGTATAACTTGACGCTGCAGGTCCCACACTTAGTGTCCCAGGGGGGAGTGTACTAGGGGTGGGGGGGGGGTGTCCTGGGAGGAGGAGCAGGTGGTGGGCCGGAAGTGCTCGCCCTTCACTAACCTAGTCCTCCCTCCTGTCTCCTCTTTACTACACCCATCTTGCCTTCCTTGTGGTTACCTTGTGGTGGTTCCCAAGTTCAACGATCTGAGGCTCGCTCTCTGATCACGCCTCCTGGTTGGTGGTCAACCAGGCAGCTGGTCGCAGCCTCATGCTTGAACATCAAGAGAGGTCGGTTACTTATGCTCCTTATCCGTGTTCAACAGTCTTCGACCCTTCAAGTTGATAGAACAGTCTCTCAACGTACCTATTGCACCTCTGCTTTTCATTGGGGCTATTTTGCACATGCTGCCATGGCTCCTGATTTCACGTGATGTAAACACCGTGTTCAGACTTGTAACCAGTCCCTCTGATATTGCCCACGAGTAGATTATTATGCATCTATCGCCTGCGCTCTAGAAAATACAGATTTTGAACATTTAATCTGTCCCAATAATGGAGATGATTTAAAAAGTGCTGGCTAGCGGTAAAGCATCTTTGTACGCTCTCTAGGTCAGCAATTTCGCCGGCTCTGAATAGGGCTGTGCAACAGTATTCCACCCTAGAGAGCAGTAGTGTCTTGAAATGTCATTGTATGGCATCCCTTGTTTGAAAGTCTTTCTTATCCAACCTGTCATTTTTCTTGCAGAGATAGATCATACGCTTCCCTTTGAGCGCATTTTGACCGCAATAACACCATCGTCACGTTTGTCGAAAGCTTTTGCACAGTGTGTGTATATTACATCTGAGTTTTGTCTGTCTTTTAAGGAACCTAAGGCCATGTCATAGTGATCTGGCAACTGTTAAGAGGCAGGAGCGCACATATCCGTATCTCAGGCCCACATATCCACTACAGCCTGGCTAGTCCGGAACTTCTTGCAAGGACTTGTCTAAGTGCCTCTTCAAGACATTCACATTTGTTCCGGCATTATTTCTAATGCTTGTTGGGAGGGTATTGAACAGTCGTGGACCCATGACGTCCAGACAGTGTTCTCTGATTGTGCCTATGGCACCTCTATTCCTCACTGGTTCTATTTTGCATTTCCTTCCGTATCTTTCGCTCCAGTATGATGTTATCCTACTGTGAAAATTCAGGACCTGCTCCAGTATCTTCTTTGTATATGTTATTTGATACCTTTCTCGTCTCCTTTCCAGAGTACATTTTGAGAGCGTTGAGACGGTCCCAATAATTTAGATGTTTTATTGTTTCTATGCGTGCCGTATATGTACTCTGTATTCCCTCTAATTCAGAGATCTCTCCTGCTCTGAAAGGGAAAGCGAGTACTGAGCAGTACTCAAGACGGGACACCACCAGTGATTTAAATAGTAATAGCATTGCTGTGGAGTCTCTGGATTTGAACGTTCTTAAAATCTATCCCCTCACTTTCCTGGCCGCCGCTATATTTGCTAGGTTAAGTTCACTAAATATCAGGTTGTCAGACATAATATTTCTCTGATCTTTCACATGTTGCCCTCCTGAGTAAGTCTGATTGCATCTTGTACCATATATTTCGTTTAAGTTCCTTGTTTTCGCCATTCCGAAGTACCAGCAAGTTATTCCTGTTAAACGTCATGTTCTTTATAGTTGCCCAATCGAAGACTTTGTTTATATCAGCTTGTAGTATTTCAGTGTCTTCTACAGATAAAATTTCCATGCTGATTTTTGTATCATCTGCAAAGGATGACACCACGTTCATACCTGTTTGATGGGGTTCTGGGAGTAATTCTACTCCCCAAGCCCGATCCGAAGCCAGGCTTGACTTGTGAGAGTTCGGTCCACCAGGCTGTTGCTTGGAGCGGCCCGCAGGCCCTCATACCCCGCCACAGTCCAGTTTGTCCGGCACTCCTTCAAGAAAACTATCTAGTTTTCTTGAAGATGTCCATTGTTGTTCCGGCAATCTCTCTTATATTCGCTGGGAGAATGTTGAACAACCGTGGACCTCTGATGTTTATAGTGTGCTTATGGCACCCCGTCCTAATAGGTCCTAACTAGGTCCTCGCACTAGTAGGTCCTAACTAGTATTTTTGTCTATATCCGAGATAAGAATGGGGAAATAGCAGCGGTGCAAGGACTGTCCCCTGGGGTACAGAGCTTTTAACTGCACTTGGACTTTATATTATTTGACTGACTGTTACTCTCTGCATTCTGTTTGACAGTTCAAAATCCACCGCCCCTTTGCCAGTTATTATTATTGATCTCATTTTATGGGATCTATCACTCCATGGTCACTTGTTGAATACATTTCCAAAGTCTGTATATATAACATCCGTATTTTGTTTTTCTTCTAAGCCTTCTGTGATTTTGTCATAGTTACCTTGAGGTTCTTCCGGGGCTTAGCGTCCCCGTGGCCCGGTCGTCGACCAGGCCTCCGACCAAGTGGTTGAGTAACTGAGACAGGATGTTCCCGGTCTGAATCCATGTTGTCCTGGGATGTGTAGTTCATTATTTTCCATAAAACTACAAATTTGAATCCTAGTCACTCTTTCAAAAACTTTTATTTATGTGTGATGTTAGTGCAACTGGTCTATACTTTTTTTGCGAAAGCTTTACTACCCCCCCCCCCCATTCTGCAGAGGAGCTATATCTGCAGATTTAATAATTGAGCGCTGTTGGTATCTCCCCTGTATCCAGGCTCTTTCTCCATATTACACCGAGCGCTCGCGCTACTGGTACTTTACATTTCTTTATGAATATTATATTCCACGAGTCAGGACCTGAAGCAGAGAGCATGGGCATGTTGTCAATGTCTCTTTCGAAGTCTTCTAAGTTCATGTTAATATTAGTTATATTGTCTGAGGTTTGGATGTCATTCATAAAGGTGTCCGGATCTTAAACTTTCATGTTGTTTATTGGAGTGCTAAACATACCTTCATACTGGCCTTATTGGCCTTTCAGTAATTTCTTTAGTCATCGTCTTTGTACAAACCTTCAGTTCTAAGTGTAGAGCCAATACTGACGGAGGTTTTCCAGTCTTATTTAGCACATGTGAAAACTGGAGGTATAATGTAGGTGGAGATACTCACAGGTCATAGTACTGGTTCCACTTGGGGTCGAGTGTGTTGCGACAGGTGTCCGTAGAGTGACACTGGCCAGAGCCCTCCACGCTGATCTTGGCGAACGGGTCCGGCAAACCTGAAACAAAACAAATATCATAATGAAACAACTACACCAATCTATAAGAATGACCCAACTACAAAAGATAACACACTAGACCTCATTTTCACAAATAACGATGAATTGCACAGGAACATAATGATTACAAATACCTGTTACTCAGACCACAATGTAATTTATGCGCAGTAGACCTGTACACCCAGTCCAAAATTCGAGAGAAGAATTCAGCAAATATAATTTTAATAATAAACCCATTAACTATCATCAGAGTTAAAGCCCCGCTCCTGTGACAGGTAAGTCTACTACGGGCTCAACATAGCCCGTGCTACTTGGAACTTTTTGTTCCCAGCAGCTGAATCTAAAAACAACAGATTAACTGGGAACAAGTAAAGCAAGACCTCACACATGTAAGCTGGGAAGAACAACTAGAAAATGCAAACCTAAACCAGTGCCTCGAGAAAATAAACTTGGTGGCACTAGAAATAGGCTCAAGACGCAGACCTCTAAGAAGAAAAGAGGAAGACAGACAGACTGGGACGACGTTCTCTCTATAGACCAAGAAAACAAATCGCGGAATAACTTTAACGTCCCAACCTATCTCAAGACCGACAAAGAAGGCTACATAGAGAAAATAAAACGATTGAACTAAAACTACAAGAATCATTTAAAATTCAGGAGAGGCAGAGAGACAGAGCAAAAGGCTATCATTGACAGAAATCAAAAATACTTTGTCCAGTATTGGGCCCCTGCAGAAGGGGAGATAAAACTTTCACAGATGACAACAAGGAAATGAGAGAAATACTATTCCGTTTTCAGCGAGCCCTTAAACACACGGAACATTGATAACCCAAACGAATTCTTCATGAATGGGATACCTGGAGAGGAGTCTGGGATTTCTACTCCCCGAGCCAGGCCTGAGGCCAAGCTCGGCTTGTGATAACTTGGTCCAACAGGCTGTTGCTTGGCGCAGTCCGCAGACCCACATATCCACTACAGCCTGGTTGAAGTCTTTATCAGACCTCAATCTAAGTTGAGGTCTGATAAAGACGTTTTGTGCCCTCTGTAATGCTTTTTGCAGGCGATGAGTCACAATAACGTGGCTAAAGTACGTTGACCAGACCACACACTAGAAGGTGAAGAGACGACGACAATGGTCCGTCCTGGACCATTCTCAAGTCGATTGTGCTTTTTGCAAAAAACATTATACTTAATGGAATAGGAGTGAGAAGCCCTGTGCTTCCGTACATGTTGACAAATTCTTGAATCCGAAAAGGAGAAAGCCATAACCACAAATCCAGTGCCAGAAACACACGTTAGCAGAATAACATCAACAGCGTATACCATACTGGCCGCCCCAAAAATAAGCTAAGTTTAATGGTTTATAATCTATAATGGTTTACCTGTCGTTGGTTCCGGGAATCAATGTCCCTGCAAGCCGGGCTCAGAGCAGACCTCTTAGTTGGTGGTCTGGTCAACCAAGTTAATTTTTAATCTCCCTGTCTGACGATCTCTTCCCGTGAGACAGTTAAGCAAGTGCCAACAGCGTCTGGGCAAAAGTTACAGGCTGAACAACCCAGTGGGGTTCTTTAATATTGGGGCGTGTTGAACACACTCCAATGCCGGTATGTCCACTTTCAGGATGAGTGACGCCGCCGTACGAACTCTGCACGAGGCAAAATGGAAAAATGTGAACATGATAAACACAGGAAAGGAGTTATTACAATAATCTAAGGACGTTGTGGGGGGGGGGGATGTAGGTGTAGACAAGAATCTTGCATGCTTAAGTAGACACACGCACACGCCTCCGCGGCCTAGTCGTCTCCGTCACCTTCACCACCGGGCGTATACATCATTTCCATTTATCACAACAACAAAAATTCTAAAGAAAGTGTGAATGTTAAGAGTGTTTGCATGACGGGTATGAGAGCAAGTGTTGAGGTGAGGAGGGAGACGCGGGTGGTGTGTTGTTGACAGTGTGACTACGTGCACGTGCGGGGCGCTGTGTACATTAAGTCTGTACACAAGGCCGGGTATTGTCTGCCCCACATAAACGTGCCTCCCTCACTTAACACCCCCCCCCCCGGCTCCGCCCCCCACCATCACCAACCTCACCAGCGGAAATATATTTGTACGGAGAACTTGCCAACTATAATGTGCAATGGGACACGACCAATATGTGTATCAAGGCATCAACTCTCGCGCCCACCTCAAACAAGACGACCCAACACAACCAGAACAAGTGAGAAAACTGAACTATAACACCAAACGAGGGAATGGAAACAGAAGAGATGTCAAACCACACAAGAAAACTATCCACGAAAAAAATGCAGCCAGATAGAATCAATGCAAAATACAGACAGCACGAGAACAGAAAAGATGAACCAGAAAGTCAATTATATATGTAAATACTTGGTCAGGGCAGTTACCCACGTGCCCCCAAAATGTAAATACTCAAAAGGTATGTAACAGCGTCCAACAGCCTGTGTGAGCACACCAACCAAGAGGCCTGCTCAGAGATCGGCCTGGGTGACACACATTCTCGGAACCGACTCCAGGTACCTACCTTGTTGCTGCCTTGTGTAGCTTCCGGGGATCAACGGACCCGCAGCCCGGTCTCTTGACGTATGAACCACAGCCTGGTTGATCAGATATTCGTTGGAGGTGTTTGTCGAGTTCTCTCGTATGTTCGAGTATGTTCTAGGTGGCGGATGTAGGAGCAGAATGCTCACTAGTGAGTCCCACTCTTTAACGGCTTTTCTAATCATTGTAATCGCGGTGGAATGTGCATCTAATGCAGCTGCTGTCGGTGGATTAATGTTTAGTTAGATGTGCAGGGTTTCAGTCACTTCACATTCCAGTAAGTAGTGCAATAGTGGCGCCTCTGCTTCTGTTCCACAGATATGACACACTTTAACTATTGGGTTTATTACCTCCCAGCAGTACTTGTAACCAAGTCTGAATCTGTGTATGGCTACTGTAATGTCTCTGGATATATTTTTGCCAGGCTTGAAAGAGGAGTAACCAGTGGCTTGTTCGTACCATATCGCAGTGGATCTTCCTTCCGTCACTGGCTCTGTGGCGACTTTTGATAGTTGGCAGTATTTTCTTGATTTGTTCCTTAATCTGTGAACAACTTGGAGGTATTTGAACCTGTACAACAGGTAGAGCAGTGGCAGTGTTTGCTAGTGAGTCTGTCTTTTCATTACCATCTATGATTCTATGCCAATGTGACTTGGTATCCAATTTAGGGTGATTGACAGCCCTAGATTAATGGCTTCGTTTCCTATATGTTGGATTTCTGTGAGGAGTTGTATATTATCTGTGTGTTGACTGGATAACAATGCCTGGAGCGAAGATTTAGAGTCGGTATGAATGATGACATGTAAATTATTCTCAATTGTATAGTTTATGGCCTCCTTCAGGGCATATAACTCTGTCAAATCTCAATCTTACTACATTCATTCATATACTCATCCTCTTCGTACTGTTGTTGTTTTAGATTTACCTACTCAGAACGAAGTGTCCATGTAGCACGGGCTATGGTGAGCCCGTAGACCTGTTCGTACCTTTCATCCTTTTCTTATCCTTCACCTTTCTCTTACCTCAATCTCTTATTTATTTGCCCATACCTTTCTCTCTCCGTTTACGGACTATTCATGCCCGTGCCACCTCTTGGGTGGCTCCATCACTCTACATCATGCTACAGGTGGGGGGGGGGGTACAAGTAATTTCCAAAATAAAGAGGCCTGGTGGACCAAACTCTCACAAGTCGAGCCTGGCCTCGGGCCGGGCTTGGGGAGAAGAACTCCCAGAACCCCATCAACCAGGTATCAAGCATATAGTGTTACTTCTCTAATTCTAATTGCATTAGACGACTGACTAGTGACTAGTGATAAGGTAAAGCCCAAGAGGTAAAGCTCAGTCGTGCACACTCTGGTTAGGTAGCACGTGCACGCCCAGGTAACCACCAAGTAAAATGTCTGGGCTTCAAGAGCTACAATAGGACTGTGCCTGCAACACTAGGCGAGTGTGTGTGTGTACACACACACACACACACACACACACACACACACACACACACACACACACACACACACACACACACACACACACACACACACACACACACACACCACAACTTCTTCAACAGATACTTACTGAAAAAATCCTTCTTTGACAAATTCTTGGCGCAGAGAACTGAAAAGAGAAAATGTGGACATTAGTCAAGACATACCCTTACAAAAATATAATGGGGCAAATCATATACAAATAACAATGGTTCTCACTCTCATAAAAGACTTTGAAAGAGAGCTAAGAAGTAAGATCACAACCCACATGGAATCCCAGCGCTCGTATAACCCTGGACAACACGGGTTCAAGACAGGACGCTCTTGCTTCTTACAATTACTAAACCACTATGGCATACCTTATCTTATGGTTACCTTACCATCTTGAGATGATTTCGGGGCTTTAGTGTCCCCGCGGCCCGGTCCTCGACCAGGCCTCCACCCTCAGGAAGCAGCCCGTGACAGCTGACTAACACCCAGGTACCTATTTTACTGCTAGGTAACAGGGGCATAGGGTGAAAGAAACTCTGCCTATTGTTTCTCGCCGGCGCCTGGGATCGAACCCAGGACCACAGGATCACGAGTCCAGCGTGCTGTCCGCTCGGCCGACCGGCTCCCCTGTGAGTGTTTTTGTGCAATTCTTGATGAATATAGAATTCTTGTAACCTGGTCCAGGTGCAGAGTTGGCATGCTGTTTATGGCTACTTCAAATGTGTGTATATAACGTTGGCGTTCTGTTTGTCTTCCGTGGCTTCTAAGGCCATGTTATAGTGGTGCTGTAATTGTGATAGTCATGTGCCAACCATGCACACGCCAGTCACAGTTACCGCCACACCCCACAACAGTTACAATCACGACAAGCAACAACACTGCAACAACCAATACAAGTCTACCTACCTTGAGGCTACCTTGAGGTGCTTCCGGGGCTTAGTGTCCCCGCGGCCCGGTCGTCGACCAGGCCTCCTGGTTGCTGGACTGATCAACCAGGCTGTTAGACGCGGCTGCTCGCAGCCTGACGTATGAGTCACAGCCTGGTTGATCAGGTATCCTTTGGAGGTGCTTATCCAGTTCTCTCTTGAACACTGTGAGGGGTTTGCCAGTTATGCCCCTTATGTGCAGTGGAAGCGTGTTGAACAGTCTCGGGCCTCTGATGTTGATAGAGTTCTCTCTCAGAGTACCTGTTGCACCTCTACTTTTCAACGGGGGTATTCTGCACATCCTGCCATGTCTTCTGGTCTCATGTGGTGTTATTTCTGTGTGCAGGTTTGGGACCAGCCCCTCAATTATTTTCCACGTGTAAATTATTATGTATCTCTCCCGCCTGCGCTCAAGGGAGTACAGATTTAGGCTCTTTAGTAGGTCCCAGTAATTTTGATGTTTTACTGAGTGGATTCTAGCAGTAAAGGATCTCTGCACGCTCTCTAGGTCAGCAATTTCTCCAGCTTTGAAAGGGGCTGTCATTGTGCAGCAGTACTCCACTCTAGAGAGCACAAGCGTTTTGAAAAGTATCATCATCGGTATAGCATCTCTAGTGTGAAAAGTTCTTGTTATCCAACCTGTCATTTTTCTTGCAGTTGTGACGGCTACTTTATTGTGTTCTTTAAAGGTAAGGTCTTCCGACATGAGTACACCCAGATCCTTTACATTGCCTTTTCGTTCCATGTTATGATTTGCCTGAGTTTTGTACGTGGTTTCTGTTTTTATATTTTCAATTTTTCCGTAGCGCATGAGCTGGAACTTATCCTCGTTAAACACCATATTATTTTCTGTAGCCCATAGAAAGACCTGATCTACATCTGATTGGAGGTTTGCCGTGTCCTCTATGTTGCCAACTCTCATGAAAATCCTAGTGTCATCTGCAAAGGATGATACAGTGCTATAGGTTGTGTTCTGGTCTATGTCCGATATGAGGATGAGAAAAAGTACTGGAGCAAGCACAGTACCCTGGGGGACTGAGCTCTTCACGGTTGATGGGCTGGATTTTATTTTGTTGACTATTACACATTGGGTTCTGTTAGTCAGGAAATTGTAGATCCGTCTGCCTATTTTCCCGGTAATTCCTTTTGAACACATTTTATGTGCAATAACACCTTAAGTCACAGCAAATACAACATTTCCTCCATAACGGACTCCCTGAAAAACCTCCCAGGCAAAATACATATAATATAGTAAGCTGACGTATCTTTGCCAACTTGCAGGAATTAAAAACAATGGCGAAAATCAACATACCGTTCATAAATGACCTCACAAAGGCAAATGCCGTATTTGGAGCTTTCTCACACACACACACCCCAGAGGGAGTGCTTGGGAGCCAAGAGTCCCAGCAGCGGGAGGGGGCGTGTGGGAGCCACGAGTCCCATTACTGGAGAGCACGGACTTGGAGCCAGGGGAGACGGCAGAAAGGTCACAGTTAAACATAGCTCATCACAACCCTAAACAATTCATGTACATAACTGGCAATGAGGTTTAACAAGGAAGCCTGGGTCGGGGAGGGCAGGAGGGAGGCTGGAGGGGCTGCTGCTGGCCAAGACTGTACGGAACTGTGGGGGGAGAGGGTATGAGGTGGACCTTACTCAACATGTCCCCTCTTGCTGGCTCGCCCTCCAATCAATGCCGCATATCAGACAGGAAGAACATTGTAGCAAGTAACGCACCCTGGAAGACCCAACTCTAGTATCTAGCTTTACTTCCTTAACTTGCTTTCAGCAACGGTAAAAGTGATTTTCACGTGATAAATTCCGCATAGTTATGGAAGGGGATAGTACTTCAAATTAATTTTGGATTCCCGCCTTGAGTACTACTCAGTAGTTGAAGTTAAACAGATAACATATGGCCTACCTATAGGTCACCTTTCCATCATTAGGAGGTATCACTCCCCAAACTACTCAGGGGAATTGACAATCATGTCGGAAGACCTTAACATTAAAGAACATAAAGTAGCCGTCACAACTGCAAGAAAAATGACGGGTTGGATAACAAGAACCGTTCAGACAAGAGATAGCTTAAATAGAGGGAGTTTAGAGAACATATACGACATACATAGACGCGATAAAGCACCTAAATTATTGGAATCGTCTCAAAGCTCTCCAAATGTACTCACTAGAAAGGAGACGAGAGAGAGAGATCAAATAATATACACGTGGAAAATACTGGAGGGCCCAAATCTATACAATAAAATAACAACGTATTGGAGTGAACTATATGGAAGAAAATGTAGAATATAACCAGTGAAGAGCAGGGGTGCCATAGGCACAATCAGAGAACAGTGTATTAACATCAGAGGTTGTTCAACACCCTCCCAGCGAGCATAAGAAATATTGCCGGAACAACCGAGGACATCTTCAAGATAAAACTAGATAGTGGTGGATATGTGGGCCTTCGGACCTCTGCAAGCAACAGCCTGTTGGACCAAGCTCTCAAGTCAAGCCTGGCCTTGGGGAGTAGAACAACTCTCAGAGCCCCATCAAGAAGAGAAGATTTAGAGGTACACCACCAGACTAGTCCCATAATTGAGAGGTATGAGCTACGAGGAAAGGCTATGGGAGCTGAACTACAAGTCCCTGGAAGACAAAAGAGTAAGGGGGAAGTGATAACCACCTACACAATTCTCAGGGGAATTGACAGGGTCAAAGGACAAAGAAAAACTATTTAGCACAGGTGGAACACGAACAAGGGGACACAGGTGGAAACTTAGTACCGAGATGATCCACAGACATTAGAAAGATTTTTTTCAGTGTCAGAGTAGTTAACAAATGGAATGCAATAATTAAGCAGTGATGTGGTGGAGGCAGAGTCCATACACAGTTTCAAATGTTAATTTGATAGAGCACAATAGGCTCCAGAATCTCTACACCAGTTGATTGACAGTTGAGAGGCGGGACCAAAGAGCTAAAGCTCAACCCCCGCAAACACAACTAGGTGAGTGCAGTAGTCCACCAAGACTGTCACAGTGGGCCACCAACTGGGAGACTGGAGGGCCCCGCCGTCCACCCAGGCTGCCAGGGTGGCGTAGACGTTCTGGCGACGTGTGTCATTTAATTTTTTTTTTAATTTGCCCGGAGGGGCGAGTTTATTGGGCAGCGCCTCTCATCCTGTGAGCGGACATATCGCCATAGCAGCGTGTACAACACTCCCCAAAAGGAAGAAAACCCGCTGGGTTGTTCATTCTGTCACTTGTACTCAGACACAGCTGGGACTTGCTTAACTGTCTCAAGTGAACAGCGCCTCAAACAAGAAGATTAAAATGTTACGTTACCTTGCGGGTGCAAAATAGGGGAATCTTTTAAGAATAGTATCAATATTTGACATGTAATCATGCTTGTTCGCACCCTTCCAGTCAAGATTTGTGTGTGTGTGATGTTAGTTATTTTGGTCTTAATTTGTTTTTGTTTTTTTTTGACATTTGCTATGGTGCCCTTGTTTTGAAAGGTATTTCCAGTGTTATTAGTATGTTGGTGAGGCGAGCTGCGTGTTGGTCCCGCCTGCATAGGTTATTTAGTGGAGGGCGTCACTCACTACTGATGTTCTCAACCAACCCAGCTCTGACTCACTCCCTTCCCCACAAGTATATCTCCACCACTTGTGGTCGGCGCCACTAACACCCTCCCCCCCCCACCCTGGTGGTGGGCGCCATTAACCACATCACCGCCACTGCTCGGCGCCCCTGTAACAACACCTACCGTGACTGACGTAACCTTCAACACAACGCGTCAATGGATAACAATTCCAAAATATTAGTATCCTTCACACTGGCTGCCCGTTTGACGGTCTTTTGTTTTTCCTAATACGACCGCCTGCCTCTTTTTTTCTTATTACCACTCCTCCAGCCACCATGGGAGGTACAGCCACCATGGGGGGTACAGCCACCATGGGGGGTACAGCCACCATGGGAGGTACAGCCACCATGGGGGGTACAGCTACCATGGGAGGTACAGCCACCATGGGGGGTACAGCCACCATGGGGGGTACAGCCACCATGGGGGGTACAGCCACCATGGGGGGGTACAGCCACCATGGGGGGGTACAGCCACCATGGGGGGGTACAGCCACCATGGGAGGTACAGCCACCATGGAAGGTACAGCCACCATGGGGGGTACAGCCACCATGGGGGGTACAGCCACCATGGGGGG